AAAGATGAGATTGAGAAGTTGATCCGGAAAATGCTGGAGGCAAGGATCATCAGACCCAGCAACAACCCTTTCTCTAGTCCAATTCTCCTGGTCAAGAAGAAGGAAGGGAGTTGGAGATTTTGTGTGGATTACAAGGCTTTGAATAAAAGCACTGTACCAGACAAGTTCCCAATTTCGGTAATTGATGAGCTACATGGAACAGTGGTGTTTTCCAAGCTGGACTTAAAATCCGAATATCACCATATCATAATGAGGGAGGCAGATGTTCCAAAGATAGCGTTCAGGACACATGAAGGGAATTCTGAATTTTTGGTAATGCCCTTTGGATTGACTAACGCTCCTGCTACGTTTCAATCCTTGATGAACAGGGTGTTCAAGCAGTACGTCAGGAAGTTTGTCCTGGTCTTCTTTGATGGCATTTTGGTATACAACAAGACTGGGGAAGAGCACTTGGAGCAATTGAGGATGGTCTTAAAAGTACTGCAGGAGTACCAACTGAGAGCCAACCTAAAGAAATGCAGTTTTGCTCAGTCCAGTGTGGAATACTTGAGACACATGATATCCCAAGGAGTGGCGACGGACCAAACCAAAATTGAAGCAATGCAGAAATAGCCACTACCTAGGAACATAAGAGAGTTGAGGGGTTTCCTATGATTGACTGGCTATTACAGGAAGTTCGTGAAGGGGAACAGTACCATTGCATGGCCTTTGACTGAGCAGCTGAAGAAAGATAACTTTTCTTGGGGAGATGCAGCAACCCAGGACTTCGAGAGGTTGAAGAAAGCCGTGACCATTATTCCTGTTCTAGCTCTTCCAGATTTCACCAGGCTTTTGTTGTAGAGACCTATGCATCAATATATGGGTTGGGAGCAGTGTTGATGCAGAACCACAGGCCTGTAGCATACTTCAGTCAAGTACTATCAACCAGGGCAAGGCTGAAGTCAGTGTACGAGAGGGAGCTGATGGTGATTGTCTTAGCCATTCAGAAGAGGCGCCCCTATCTTTTAGGCCGACACTTCATTGCCCGGATTGATCAGAGGAGTTTAAAGTACCTCTTGGAGCAAAGGATGGTAACATAGGAGCATCAGCGGTGGCTATCCAAATTCTTGGGCTACAATTTCGAGATCCATTACAGGCCTGGTTTGAAAAATAAAGCAGCAGAAGCTCTATCCAGATGTATGGGGGAGCTCAAGGAGTTAGCTTTGTCTGTACCCTTGATGGTCGACTGGGGGGGCCATCAAAGAAGAAAGCATTTAGATGAGGAATTGGGAAAGATCAAGGACTTGAGGAAGGATAAGAGTGGTCATCCTGGTTACTGCATTGAGGGGGAGAGACTATTGTATCAAGGGAGGTATGTGATGCCACGAACCTCCATACATATCCCCCACTTGTTGCAGGAGTTCCACGGCAATGCGGTTGGAGGCCATTCAGGAATTCAAAAGACATACAGGAGGCTAGCAGCGGAGCTCTATTGGAAAGGGATGCATAAAGATGTGGAGGAGCTGGTGGCGAGGTGTAAGGTGTGACAGAGAAATAAATACATGACCATGACTCCAGGAGGATTGCTACAACCATTGATACTTCAAAACAAAGTTTGGGAGGAGGTGTCAATGGACTTCATCGACGGATTACCACGATCAGAAGGATACACTGTCATCATGGTGTTGGTGGACAGGCTTAGTAAGTATGCACTTTATCCTCTTGCGACGTCCCTACACCGCAGTGTCAGTGACAGTAGCATTTATCAGGGAGGTTGTTAGACTGCACAGGGTTCCTGAATCGATAGTGACGGATCGAGACAAGGTGTTCCTTAGTCAATTTTGGAAGGAGCTATTCCGATTGCATGGCACTATCCTCAAGAGAAGCACCGCCTACCATTCACAGACAGACGGGCAGACGGTGGTAGTGAACCGAAGTTTAGAGACTTATTTGAGGTGTTTTGTGTCGGAGACCCCGCGGATGTGGGCAAAGTGGCTGCCCTGGGTTGAATATTGGTACAATACCTCGTACCATTCCGCCTCCCAAATAACCCCATTCAAAGTGTTGTATGGAAGGGACCCTCCACACCTGGTGCACGTTGGGAGAGGTACACAGTGTACACCTGTGTCGTCACTTGAGCAGTATTTGGAAGAAAGAGATAAGATGCTGGAAGAATTGAAAAAACATCTGATGAGGGCCCAACAGATCACGAAGAAGCAGGCGGATTCACACAGGAGAGACATGTAGTTTGAAGTGGGAGAGAAGGTGTTCCTGAAACTACGACCATACTGGCAGCAGACAGTGGCTAGAAGAAGGAATCAGAAACTAGCACCCAGGTACTTTGGCCCCTATGAAGTGTTGAACAGGATTGGTGCGGTGGCGTATCGATTGAAATTACCCCCATCAGCCACTATACATCCAGTGTTGCATGTGTCTAAGCTGAGAAAGGCCATAGGGGAACATACAACAAGCGAAGAACTTCCAGATACCATGACGGAGGACTTAGAGGTGGTTTTAGAACCACTAGAGCTGGCAGGAGTCTGATCAAACAAAAAGGGGAATAAAGAAGTATTGATTAAATGAAAATGCCTCCTTGATTTCAACGCTACGTGGGAACTGCTGGAAAGAATGAAAAAGCAATTTCCCTTGTTTCACCTTGAAGACAAGGTGAGTTTTTTGGAGGGGAGTAATGTTACGAAGCCGGCCCTGGAGGGGCCGGCTGGACCGGTCCAGGTCTACACCCGGCCGAGAAAACAGCAGGGAGGGGGTGGAACTTTGGGTGGGCCCATGCTAGGCTTAATGCAAATTTTGGGGGGAAAGATTTGAATGTAAGGGTAGATTAGGTAAGTGTTAATTATCCTTTCATGTTAATTAGGGGGAATAGGAGGAATAAAGGATTATCTTGAATTTTGAATGAAAATTTGAGATCTAGGGTTTCTTGCTTTGGGCTCTTGGCGTTGTCGGAGATTGGAGAGTTGTTCTTCCTCTCGGATTGAAGAACAAATTGTATCTTTGTTGTTTATTCATCGTCTAGTGGAATACAAGTTGTGCTTTGAGTTTTCCTACATTTTTCCTCTGATTTTCCACTGTTTTTGGTTGTTTTACTGCTGTGCACAGCAGTTTTCGTGTTTTGGTACTTAAATTTTGGTTAGGTTTGCTTGTGAATACAAGTATTTCCTATCAGTTGCATTTAGACATGGCAGAGGTCTCCTTGAACTCAGTGGTGGGATTCACTCCAAATCATACCATGAAAGTGAGAGGAGAGATAACAAACAGAGAGGTAGTGGTCTTGATAGATAGTGGGGAAATCCATAATTTCATCTCCAAATATGTTGTGGACCAATTAGAGGTGGAGCCGGTGGACACAAAGTCCTACGGGCTGATGATGGGCACATGGAAGGAGTAAATAGGCAGAAGAGTGTGCTAGGGATGTTTCTGACCATAAAAGGGTCCAGATGAGGGAGGACTTTCTTCCATTGGAGTTGAGAGGCACTATGTCATCCTGGAGATAAAATGACTGTAAACTTTATGAGGCACCAAGGTCAATTAGGGAGCACTGGCGATGGAAATGATGGTGAAGGGAAGAATAGTGGTTTATCAGGGGAAATGCAAGGTTATCCAAAGCCATGGTTTCTCTCAAAATTATGGTGAGGACCACACAGGAGGTGGGGGAGGATTTGTGGTGGAGTTACAGAGCTTGGAGGGGATCAAGTTGGAGGGGGGAAACATCCCTCTTTCAATATAGTCGCTTATACAACAGTTTAGTGAGGACTTTCAACCACCTCAAGGATTGCCCCCACCAAAGGAGCAAGAGCATGTCATCACCTTAAGGGAGGGGGTGTAACCGATTAGTGTCAGACCTTACCGATACCCTCATAATCCACGCATTCTAGGCATTGTGTAATTTCACCTAATTTATTAGTATTGAATTTTAATTAAGACCAGAAGATTTTTTCATGGTAAAAAGAAATAATCAACTAAAGGATATCATCGACCACTTATGGTATTCGGATTTCAGTAATATATTCTATGAATACCTTTTTTATGCTAGTAATACAACTTAATTGCATTGAGGAATTGCTTCCCTTCTAAGGGAGGGCTAACACCAGAGACTCAAAGAATCAATCAAAATTAGACCTCACATGAATATACTTGCCAAATCTAAAATTCATAATATATAGCTTGTACGATAAGTTTATCCTAAATTAGACTTGCATGTCCTTGTAGATGTGTGGGATTTGTAGTGTGACAAAGCTTGTATCGTGCAAGACTTGTAGGATGAAGAGATAGTACAGTTCGGATGCTTTGAAATTTTCAAATTCAAATTAATATTATTGATTGAGTGTTTAGGAAAACTAAAAATCAGAGATAATTTAAACTTAAATTTTAAATTGATCATATATCAGCCTTATTTACTAATCCAGGTTAAAAGGAGAAAATAATGATTGAGGCGTATAATTCACAACAATTGACTAAAATCTCACCCACTTGTGAGTACAAATTGGAGTACAAAAGGAGTAAAAAATGGAAGTGTTGTATATAAGTGTGATTATGAGGGAATTTATCTCTTGGCACTAGCACAAGACCTGGCTCATCATTAATTATGTAATTTATTTTTTTATTTCTTTTTTCTGCATAATTTATTATTAAATAGTTTACTGCTCTAGATTTTAATTTTGAAAAAAATATGTCAAAATTTATTTTTATGAAAATTAATTTCTTTATTCATTGATGTTATTTATTTCCAAACAGCTGAAATTCTCGGATATGTATAATCATTTTATTATCAAATAGACTTGAACTGACTAATGCTTGTAATTGTTTAAAGAAAGTTAAATTGTGGTATAATAAATAACTAGTGATTTGTAAATCCTCTATTTTTTCTTTGCATGAAAGCATGTTTGACATCATATAAGTAGTCCTAGGAAATCTAACCATAAATCATCCTGCATAAAAAATTAGATGATTATAAGGTAGGAGAAAAAGGCGATACTATATTTGTAATAGGAAACAATGCTTACAAGGTTCATATGAACATAGTCTTCAATCTCAGTATTAGACAGTAATCTGCAATAACAAAGAGACAGGTAATCTGAAAATGAATGTTAATCTAATCAATTCATACTGAAATAAATTGAATTCAAGAATAGAGCATTGAATAAGGCTGTACTAATCAACGGCTGTATCATATATTATTTTATTCATAATTGTATGCCAATTATTTTAAAAGAAAAGTGCCAAAAACCAAAAAACAGGATGTTACTTCTCATATGCGATTTGAAGGTTCTTGTCATGCAACTTTGTAACTTCATCGACCCTTTGTGTGACTGAACAACTGTCAGAAGAACCAAATAGAAGCATGTTCTCAGTAAGCATCCTTTTCACAAGAGCAGGTACAACTCGGATACCATTTTCTTTAGCATCAACAACAAGCAATTTGAGCCTCTTCAGCTCTCCTAACACAAAAATATAAGGGAAAACAAAATATAAAAAATCAGTAGCATGCATGATAGTGCAAAATCTAATAATAAATCATTGGCATTTAATGGTAAAATAGGAGAGTCAAAAATCAAAAAGTACTAATTAAAAAAATGGTTGATACCTAGACACAAGTAAATCTTCACACGAGGCTTGTATGGTTGAGTCTCATAAAGACAATAGAGGCAGTATAGCCCTCCTAGTCTCTGAGATAGAGAAGTCGATGAACCCATATGACCTGAATTCACAGTTTATAGTCATTATATTCATAGAGAGGGATCAAAATTCAATCTATGGTGCATGGAAATAAAAATAATAAATAAATAAGTAGGATAAGAAGCACTAGGACGAACCAATGGAATGTGAGAATAGGGATTGCATAAAAAAAACAGAGTTAGATCTTGGACTTGCTTCATAAATATAAGAGAACTTCTTAGCAAACCACACTCTTTTCATGTCTGCCAACGTAGTTGAGTTATCCTGCCAGTTGAAAAATAAGGAACGATTTTCATAGGAATACATAAACACTCTATTTCGTTTGAAGCAATTGAAAGTGGGAAAAATGGAAAGAAAATAGAAAAGTTACAGGTATTGAATTTAAATAAATTTCAACTACTTGTTTGGTTACTGGAGAAATTTGAGTGCAAAAATATGTTTTCTTTCCTGCTCGGTTGATGAAACTTATGTTTTTGTCTAGTGAGGAAACATATGAGTTGCAGTGATGAAGCAATATTTTTTCTTCCAGTTTTCACAATTATTAGACATAGAATTATCAATGAAATTATGCATTTATTTGCATTTCCTACATAAATCCAATTACTTTTAAGTACATTAGAGCCAAAAACCCAATATGAAATTGAGAAGTAATGCATTTGCATTCCCTCCAAGTCCTTCAAGCCAAATAGAACAAAAAGGCTATCAACCTCGATGAAAAGTAATGTGGTTATAGGAAACCCCAGAAAAGGTACCCGAGTGAAGTCATCAAGAAGCTCATCTACGTCCAACTTGAACGTGGTGGGATCCATCTTCAGCTACGCAAATCAACTCAACTAATGCACAAATCATAATCATCTAATGCACGCATCATAAAAATATGCCTGTAAAAGAAAGTTAAGGCAAACAAAAATCAATACAAGAAAACCATTCCAAATGCTAGGATTTATATACATGTGAATAATAGTAAAAAAAGCCTAAAAACTTCATAATTTTTTTATAAATCTAATTGGTGTTGCTTGGATTTCATGCATTATGTACCGATTAATATAAAACTGAGATTAGGAAAAGTACTTAAGTTAAAAACTGACGGAACTTTAAGCTTGTCAAGAAGCATGATTAAAGAAACATGTAAAACGAAGAAATTTAGACTTAAATCAATCAAATCTGCATAATGCTACTATAATAAGTCTTACTACGTTGAAAATTTAAGCTCCTAAGTTATAACCATTAGAAGTAGATGATATAATATAATATCCAGAACAGAATATTCACTCCATTAGTTTTCATTTTCTCAGCACATCGTCCCTTGTTGATTAACTGCATTAAATACATGAGAAAGCATACAAAAATGAAGTTCGATAATACATTAGGAAAAATAGTGTTACATTAAAACGCTAAAAACATTTCAACTAAAAAAAATGGTGCAATTGCATTGAAATGTTTGTTCAACAGTCCAATAATTCTGATTTTGCAAAACTCACAAAGTAGGAAAAGAATCAGCACCCAGAATATATCCTAATTTCCTAAATGCAATTAAAATACTCCAAAGCATGGAATAGTGCAAATGATTTCTAAGAAATTCTAAATAAGTGACCGAACTAAATTTATTAACAAAAGTTGTGCATTTCATCCTTGAGGCTGCGATACAGATAAGCTTCCAGTCTAAGCAAACATGATGCTGCTATGACGGATGAGTCTACAACTCAATAAAGATAAATGAGTCAACTAATATCCTCTTCATGTCAACATTTGCCTATCTTAGCTTCAGAAAAATTGATCTTCTCTGCCCCTTTGATCAATTGTCAAGCCAATTTACTCTGAGCAATCGAAGATCAAGACTACTCAAGTGGCATCATCTGCTCAAACGTCACAACTATGGGGATCAGTCCAAATTGTGTAGGTTTCATAAGAGACATGACAACATAAATGATGATTGCTACCATCGAAAAAAAGAAATTGTCTGTCTTATCCTCTAAGGATACCTCCACCAGTCCACATTTCATTGTTAATCCTAACAACACTATAGTTCTAATAAAATAATTGAAGCGCAAGCCATCATTCTTAGCGTAAGTCTTAGTTAAGTCAGTTTCATTTCAGTTTAATAACTCATTCAAGTTCCGTTAGGAGATTTTTCCTTTAAGTCACTCCTTTACAACATTCATTAATGATGTAGAATAAAAATGAAGGGTCCTAGAGAGACTTTTCGTACTCTGGATACTAAGGATGTAGTAAACCTTCTGTAAAACTTGATTCAGAGGTCTTAATCATTCATTGGGGAAAAAACCATATGACTTGTTGCTGAATAATATTTGAAAGTGGTGTTAGGCAACCTAAAGGTCTGATCAAGGTTTGTGGGGTAATTACAACAATCCTCAAGGAATTGTGATGAATTTTAGGGTCCATTTGGGGCAGCATTCTTATAACTTTACTTTCTAGACAATTGCCACAGTAATGTTTGGTTGCATTTTTTTTTTTTTTCTTTAAAGAATTTTATGTGGTAAGAAACAACTTTTTATGGCCAAATCTAATAGAGTATGATGATTATAAGAAAATTGCTATCACAACTTCCTCACAGCCTTTTACACCTAGTCCTCTACTAAAGTAGATCCATAATGCCTCAACAACTTTCAAAAAAATTGTTTTCACACAACAGTTATAGAAAACTGAATCTATCCTAAAGGGAACTTTAACAACAACAACATCTACATGAAACCTTTCTCTCCATTGTCTTATGATAAGAGTCAATTTTTTATTTAAATCTAACAAAAAAAAATGTCATTTCAAATATTTTCAAACCAAGTTTTTTTAAGTCTAAATCTACCTTTCTTAATATTTGTCAAATCTAATACATTTACTCTCTTAACTGGGTCATTAGAAGGCTAAAGTTTTATGTGACCAAACCATCTAAGTCAACTCTAATCTTATTTGCCACTAAAGCTACTCCAACCTTTTCAAGTATATACTTGTTTTACATTCTTTCTTAATATATGTCCTATCTAAGATATTATATAAATCATTAAAAGCTAAATTCTTCGCATCGCATATTACTTTCTTAGACTCCTTACGATCATCTTTATATCTTTTTCAATTTTTTGAGCTTTTACACCCAAAGTAATTTTTATAACATTTTTTTTTTAATATTTTCTTGCATATTTTGATTTCTTTTTGATACTTCAAGCACGTCTTTTGCGAAATTCTTAATATCACTAATTATTTTTTCTCACATAACATTAGCTTCCCCATGCTCAGTCAAACTCATAAAATCTTGAAACTTACCCTAAATTTTTTTTTTGTTTATGCTCTTTAAATGCCTCTATTTAATCTTAGAATAATATTTTACTTTATTTTTTATAATTCGTCCCTTCATCTTAAAGTTCAAAATTAATAAGCGATGTTGGGTACATAAATTTTACTATGAATGATTTTACAATCTTTGCAATTTAATCAATTTATTTTTTTCTTATAAGAAAATAATCAATTTAAATTTTACTATATATATTCTTATAAGTGATGAGATGCCATATCTTTTCTTAAATATGGCATTAACAATTATAAAATCATAAGCTAGAGTAAAAATTAATATGGTCATATCACCTTCATTAATCGTTCCAAACTCATAGCCAACATAAATATTTTTAAAATTTTTTACCTCTCTACCAACATGTCCATTTGAATCCCCTCCAATAAAAACTTTTTCATCAACATTCCAAAATTTTAATTTTAACACATATCCAAACCTATGAGAAGATAATAAACACTTGCAATATTAATAATCTCGCATCAACAGGAATCTTTAAAGCCATAATTATATCTCTAATTATCTTGATTTCTATAATATTATCCTTCAAACTCTTATCTATAATCACACATACACAATTTCTAGTACAACTTCTACTTGAATACTATAATTTCAATCCAAAATATCAATCTTCTTAGCATTCTCTCCAACCCATTTATATTTCCTGAATGCATAGAATATTTATCTTCATATGAATCATAATATCGATTAATTCAATAAATTTACCTATAAGAGAACTTATATTCCAAGTTTCTATCATAATTCTAGTATCATGGACTAGTTATTTTACCCCACACCCGATTATGATGTGTGAACACTTGCTTATTTAACATTAAATCCAGGCAACAGGGCAATGACCCTTGCATACTTCTCGTTGTATTAAGGTCATACAAAACATCGCTTTCAGAGAACGCCCTAGCATTAACAAAATGTATTAAAAGATTCATCTCATGATTATTCGATAAGTTTTACACTGGTTGTCGATTACCTAAAGCAACCTATATCTTATCCAGGACTTAGGACTTGGCAACGTCAGTGTTAAAAAGAACTTTAATGTATGAGATAAAAGTAATCCAAAAGCGATTAATTGGCATAGAACAGCAATAAGAACTTTAAAGGATTGTTTGGTAGCAAGATTTAACCTAAATCCTGAAAAACGCAAAAAACACCATGTCAAATCTCAAGGAAACTTAAATCATCATTTTGCTACTTTTTGCCCTAAATCCCGGATTTATTAAATCCCGGAATTTGGCGAATTTAGAGGAGATGAATGGCAAGACAAAGCGTGAGACAAAAAGGCAGAGAAATACATGTTCTTTTTTTGAAGACTAGCTCCATCGCCAACAGCTATAAACGCCATTCTCCTCGAAAAGGAAGGAGCAAAAGCAGACAACCTAATGCAATGCTAAACTTCACGCAACATCGTTCTCCTCAAAGCAGTTGTTGAAGTCTACAACTCGACTTCACGCAACTCCTCAATGATAATACAGTTAGCAATTAAGAGTTCACGCAACTTCTACCTTCTCATAGTGATAATATAGTTAATAATTCAGTAATTAATTATTAAAGTAACACCAAAGTAAATGTTTAAATAAATAATATAGTAAATAGTAATTAAATTCTTAATTATTATAATAACACTTAAATATTTACTTAGATAAATATAAATATAACTTGTAATTAAATATTTAAATACTTAGGATTTGTCTAGGATGATTTAAGCATTTTGTAAAGGTGGTTGTGAAGTTGTTGTGACAAAGTAATTTTTTTGAAGTTGCTATGAATATTATAAATATTGAATTTTAAAAAAAAAATTGAATTGTTGTTTTCTTAAAGCTATCACGCATTAGCAACTCTGAATGTAAAAAATAGTTTCCCAACACAATTTTTTTTTCAAAGGAAACAAAAAGCAATAACCCGATCTAAAAAGCAAATCAATGAGAATCTATCCTAAACAAACCCTTAGTTATTAAAGTTAAATCTACAAAAATAATCAAATCATTAAAATATAATTAGTAAGTAATGTTTTCAATTATCTAACCACCTTAAGGGCTTGTTTGGATGCAGGATTTATGATCGATTTAGAAAATATTTGAGCTAAATCCTATCAAATGCCAAAAAATCCAAAGTTAAATCTCGCGGTAAGTCTAAGCTCGACTTCATGGCATTTTTGGCATTTTTGCCCTAAAGCTCAAATTTCTTAAATTTGACATTTTGGCAAATTTAGCGAAAAGCGTGCAAAGGGGAGAAATATCGTTACCTTCACGGCAAGCTCCCGTCATGACTTCCAATTCGACAACAACAATGACTTCCAATCCGACAACAACAATGTCGTCGTCAGAGGCGGAGAAGCTCAAAGCAATACTTTTAAATAATTAGTATTATAAATAGTAATTAAATTATTATTTTTCTATATAATAATTAATTATACAATTCTCATTATAATTAGTATTAAATATTTATTAAAATAACACCTAAATAAATAATTTGATAATTAGTATTGTAATTAATATTTAAATCATTAGCTGAGTTATTAGATAATTAAATTAATTTTTAACTATATTATTCATAATTATAATTTATTGATGTTAAATAAAAGTAATGAATAACTCTTATTTAAAATATAAATATCATATGAGTTAACTGCCTTAAATCTTGAATAACATTGTCAAACAGTCTCACAGGATTTACAAGGATTTAACATACTTCTTGTCAAACAATTTTCAGAATTTAACACCCTCAGGATTTAGTAACTCCTAGCTCCATCCAAATAGGGAGGCCCTCAATCTTAAAATAAGCAGTCAAACGGTTCATCAAGATTTAATCTTTGCCATGCCAAACAGTTTTTCAAGATTTAACTGTCTTAGGATTTACTAAATTCGGATTTACAGGATTTACTAAATCCTACTTGTTGCTAAACTTTCATGATGGATTAAGGCTTCTTTCTTAAAAACCTGATTATTACTTCTCCGTACTTGAAGTTTCCCTTTGAGGCAAAAATAAATAAATAAATAATTTATTAAAAATTAAAAAAAGTTTCCCTTTGAGGCCCCTCCTCGATAAAGTTGATCAAAAACCCTCTTCAGATGGTTAGCCAAGTGCAAAGAAGTTAGAGAAACAGAGAACTACATTCAGAGAGATAAAGTGTTGTCTTAGAGATGGAAAACATAGTAAAACTAATATTTCATTCAGTCTTAAATGAATGGATACAAGCATGCTCTTGAGCTTTATCGGAATTATCCCTATTTGTTTTGAATATTGCAGTACCCTGGTAACAAAGGAGTTTAACCAAATAAAAAAACATGAAAGAATAGTAGAAAAGAACAAAACTTCAGTAAAAGGCCTGAAAAGTTAACAACAAACCTTATTACAAATAGCATAATCACATGCCGATGAAATTAACAATAAAAAAACCTATGAAATATTTAACGGGCTGTTTGGTAGCAGGATTTAAGCTAAACCCTTTCAAATGGTTGAAAATACCATTTTAAATTCCGTTTTTCCTCCGTTTCACCTTAAAAATCCCGAAATCACTGAGGGGCTGTTTGGCAACGGGATTATGCGGGATCCAAACAGGATTTGAGAGTCCCGTAAATCTCACGGCGAGATAAATCCGCCGTGAGCCTTTTTTTTTTTTTTTTTTTGGCCAATATCTCGGATTTACTGAATCCTAAAATTCGGCGGATTTACAGATGCGGGCTAGAAAGCGCGCGAAAGGGATAAAGATGGTTACCTTCGCAGCGAGCGAGCTCCCGTCGTGACTTCCGATCCGACGTCGTCGAAGGAGGCGAAGAAGTTCCTTTAGCGACTCTATCAAAAACTATTTCACGCGAAGCAGGCGAACCGAAGCAGCCGCGAAGAAATAGCGAAAGGCGCAGAGACGAGGCGCGAAGAGGATGAAAAGCAAACCCTCTACGGCCTCCTAAATTAGAAATTAATCTAAATTAGCGTTATTAATAAAATTTAAATATCAATAATTAATTAGATTAACACAATATGTTGATTGAGAGTTTAGTCTATCAATTAATATTATAAATAGCAATTAAATAATTAATTAGTAATAAAATATTTATGTGATCAATGAGATAATTAATAATTAAAATAAATTAAAAAATACTTAAGTTATTAATTAAATTATTACTATGAGTATTAGCTAAATAATTAGTTAATTCAAAAAAATAATTAAATGATCAATTAGAGTTTAGGAATATAATTTGATATCAAATACTTATTAAATAAAACACCTAAGTAATTTAATAATTAGTAATATAATAAGTAATTAAATTATTCAATAACTAAGCTAGATTTTAATTACATTATATATCATTATAATTTATTAATTGTAATTAAAATTGAAGTTAATAAGTAAATCGTATGTAACACGTAAATTAAATTCAAAACTTATTAATAATTTATATTGCCTATATCTTATATCAAATACTATTTTTTCAGTGTCATTGTTCTTCATCTTACTTGATGGTAACATGATATTAAAGTAATTATAAAAATAATAATGCTCCTATAAATTGATCAAACAAATAACCGATCTTAGGTATATAAGCAATATCAACTAATATATCATCAAAAAATTATCTTGATCGAGCACGGATCTCAAGGAAAAAATCAAGCCGGAAACTTTAAAAATTAAATTCGGGATCACCTGAATTCCGATTTCAGCAAACTTAAAGTCAAATTAACCGTCTCGGAAATATGAACCCAGTGACACCAAATTTGACTCAATCTGAGCCCAAATGGGTCCAAATCAAGGACCCGAAGCGATGTTGGAAGGTTTGAACCACAATTTGGATTGCCAAACGATGTCCCAACGTGACGTGCTTATAATTGAATCGAGCGTCTTGACGAGATGAATCCAACGAGCTAAAGATCGCCAAATTCCGACACCACTAAGACCTTCAAATGTCTAACGAATGGTCCATGATCAAGGGATTCAATATTGGCCGTCCATCGAACCACTCCACATTTTCCCCTGATCAACAACGATCTTTATGACCTCTATCGCCCGCCGACTACGATCCTTCTGACCAAATGAACACGTCAACAGTAATTCTTTGTATTCCTACCATGTAATGTACTATGTATGATGTATATCAAGTCAAGGCCTTCCCCCAATGTAGGGCCTCATTTGTAATAAACTGCAATGCTAGTATATTTATTCAAACTGAGCTAGGCCCCGTGATTTTTCCCCTCTTTTTCAGGGGTTTTCCATGTAAAATTTTTGGTGTATCTTAAATGCTACGCCCTCTCTTTATATGTGTGCGTGTTGGATCTTCGTACAAAGCTAAGACATTAAGCTTTATATTTCTTTGCGAATACTCCATGACGCAACAACTATATAATCATTCTTCTTAAGAAACAAAATAAGAGCACTCCAATGAGATGAGATGTAATAGATCTAATGAACCTTTCTCAATCAACTCAAATAATTGACTATTTGAATCCTGCAACTTCTTCGTAGTCATTTTATTAGGTATTTTAACAATTAGTGTAGCTTCAAATTTCGCTTTCAATTTATGGTGGTAGTTTAAAAAGATACTTAGAAGAATTATTCACATACTCATTCAAAGCTAAGCCGTTGAGTTTTTCATCTCTCTATTGTCGTGAATGTTCCATGACGCAATAGATGGGTGATGGTCCGATAGTGGTGCTTGGGTAGAACTATAAGATCTTTGAAGCTTCAGAGCTCTCTTAATCGCCAACCTAAGGGTCCAAGCTCCCGTCCTCTCTTTCATATAGAGAGTCGGTGTCTATTTATAGATTTTAAAAATGACATACCCTATAAATGAAGAAGATTTAGGACAAATTCAGAGTGTTCCATAGGACGATCCATATTGATTCATTCTCTCGATCATTGAGCATTTTTTAAGCATTTAAGTGGCTTAATGATGTCAAATTAAGCGAACTTAGACTAATTGGATTTGTCACGTCGAGCCGCTCGATGCAACTATAAGAATGTCATATTTAGATATAATATGGCCATCTAAATAATACTTTAAACCTTTCAAATATACTTCAGCCCCTTGATTTGGACCCATTTTGGGCTCCAATAAGACAAATTTAAGTGTCGTTGGGTTCATCTCACTTAGACGTTTAAATTGATTATAAGTTCGTTGAAATTGAAGCCTGTATGGTCCTACAATTAATTTCAAAATTTTCCAAGTTGAATATGCCTCGAGATTCATGCTCGATCAAGTTAGTTATTGATAACGTATCAAGTTAGTTGTATAGCAATATTAAAATAATCTTTAGGCTAAATGATTCAATTGATAAATTAATTTATAATAGTCAATATACAAATATATACACACATGCATACATTTATATATCAGAATGAACATAATAAAAAATAAGATTTTGTAAAAATATATTTAATCATTTTTAGAGGAGTAAAAAATGGGTCATAAAATTTAGAACTTATTTTATATTACCCTTTCAAACAATTTAAATATATTATATGCTATATCTCTAGGTGATGGGTTAAGATAAAGTGGGGCTGAGGAGCAATAAAGATAATTATTAGGCATGGTTTGGTCAAGAACTAACTTTAGTTAACAACATAGGGTTAAGAAGTTAGGTAGCATTAAATGTTTATAATAGACTTTACTTGTAGAACCTTGTAGAGTTGCTTATGTTGAACATAAAAATATAGAGTTATTAAGAAAAGAGAGGAGACACTAACATATCAAGAGAAACATAGAAATACAACATATAAAAATTGAGATATACATGATTTAATGTTGTAACATATGTTATTGGTATAGTAAAGGGGGTCAAGAAATACATTTTTATAGAGAAAGTCAATCTTGTTGTGTTGATCGATGCTAACATCAAAGGATTGATGGAGGTGAAGTTGGATAAAATCGAGGAGACATGTGCATACGAGCGAGTGTGCGAGTGTGTATGGGTGAGTAAGCGTTTTTGTATGGGTGAGTGAAGGAGTGCATATGGGTGAGTAGATGGGAGTACTAGTAAGCATGCATGCAAACAAGTGAGTATGTTGATTGGTGCATGCAAGCGAGCAATCCATTATATAAATCTCTAATAACAAGTGGGTTAGAATTATGGGTGTCAATACTTGACCCAACCTGAAATTTGACTCGGACTCGACCAAAAAATTTGTCGGTTGTGAGTATGTTGATAGGTGCATGGAAGCGAGCAATCCATTAATTTTCACCCTTATAAATCTCTAATAACAAGTGGGTTAGAATTATGGGTGTCAATACTTGACCCAACCTGAAATTTGACTCGGACTCGACCAATAAATTTTTCAGTTTCAGTCAATCGTTTGCAAAATGGGTCGGGTTCGGGTTTAAGAATTTGACTCGTTTCTAAAATTGGGTAGGGTTCGGTTAGACCCAAAAAACCAGAAGGTGACTTGAATGCAACTAGGGTGGGTGACGCACCAACTCCTGCGCGTGTCACACACCTCGCACCTCGAGCTTGACTAGTCGCCCCTACCCTCGTTGGCTTACTGTTCTGCTCGAAACTCGGGTTAGCATATCATGTCGGTTAACCTGTTAACCCAGTAGGTTCGGTTCGAGTCTAAATTCCTGACCAATTTATCTAATCGGGTCATATTCGAGTTGAATGAGGGTCAGCTTCAGGTTAATTTCGAACCTGAATTGAAAAATCATTTTGACACTCTTAATCAGACTAACCACACAAATTCTTCAAATGTAGTTATACAAGAATATATAACATTAAAAAAGGCAATGGAATAACACACTTAATTCCTTGTATCCTATAATCTCAAACTTTGTTATAAAAGGCAATTGTATCAAAAATCACCACTGATATCTTAGTCACCTCTAAATATATTGATCATTAAAAAAAAACTTGAGCCCAAGTCTCAAAAGTACATAACCATTTACTCATACAAAGAAAAAAAAAGTCATTTTCTCATAATATTATTATTTCATTATGTTTTTCTTAGTTTTTATCCCTCATTCTTCTTGCTAAGAGTTCTCATCTTCCAAAATATCTTCATTGGAAATCGTGCATCATTATTTTTTTTGGGAGATCCTGTGAAGCATAAGCTTGAGCTAAAATTTTAAATATTTATTAATTAATTACAATTATTATAATGAACATAAATTCCGTCGTTATTATGCATTGCGCGCATAAAAAAAAAGAATTTTTACAGCCTTACCCAAAAAAACATGAAGCACTCCATCCGAAGTGACCACCTGGTGAAGGAGCAAATTAGAAGAAAGTTGGAATCCAACGAATAAAGCAAAGTGGGGAAGAGAGAGAGAGAGAGACCAGAATGGCAGAAGGAAACAGTGCAGAGCTTTTGGGGAAAGCTCGAAGTCCAAATCTATAGAAGAAGAAGAAGAATAAGGAGGAGGAGAAAAATCATTCAGAAGACGAGGAAGAAAAAACGAAGATTCGGCACTGAAATGGGCGGTGGTGCGTCAAGGTGGAGGCGGGCGGCGCAGAAGATCGGATTTCCCTGTACTTTTCTCGTCGGCGAAGCTACACCTCACCAAAATTCCTCACCCGTAGATTCTCTCTCCCTTTTTCTCTCACTGTGCTTTTTTCTTTTTTTTACACATCTGTGCTGCTCTGCGTCCAAATTGATCAGTTTTCCTCCCCAAAAAAATGGATTTTTTGTGGCATTTCTTCATCAAAATTGCAGCTTTATATATTAAGATGTTTGTTTTTACGCATTAGAGTATTTTTGTGGTGTTTAACTGGATTTATTTCAAAATTCAGAATTTCCTGCTGCTTTTTATGAGCGGTTCTGTAACTTGGAATGCAGATCTTGGCCTCAGCGTTTCCGAAATCCTCGGCCAGTTTGGAAAGAACTCATGGGGAAGAATATGGTGGCTTCCAAGCGAAGGTACTCTACTGATCATACCAGCAATTAAGATGCTTTTTTTTCCTGGGTATAAGGTATTAATGTTATTGTTCTAATTTTATTATAGGGGAATTTATGTGCATAATGTCGAAATATTTCTTATTTGCAAAACTTAAACTTACAAGTTTTTTTTTTTTTTTTCTGAACTACTTAGCCCCATAAATCTATGTGTGCCATTATCAAACTGTTTGTAATTTGATGAAAGTGGAAAATATTTGTTGGAATTTTTTTTTTTGAATTTCAATATTTATGTGAGAATTTGAAAAATGGAGATGGGTTATGATTAATTTACTAAATTGTCAGAGTTTGGATTTTTTATATGAAATTCTCTTTATTATATAATTTCATCTTTCTTTGTAAATACAGATCTATTTGGATATTTATTTATACACATAATATTTCTTATTTACAAAACTAACATCCAAGTCATTTTTTTGATCTATTGAGTTCATATATTTACATGCGCCGCTATCAAATAGCTATGAATTTGACAAAAGTGAAAAATGCGTGTTGGGATGTTATTGTGAATTTCTAAATTCATGTGAGAACTCGAAAAATGAAGATATGAAAGTATTTGTAGTCAAGATTTGAGTTTTGTGCATGGCATTGCCCTTTCATTATATCATTTCATCTTTCTTAATGAATATACAATTTTTTTTCTCTCTTTGGAAGAGAGGGAGAATTGGGAGAACATAGATATACTTGATGAGTTCTTGAAATATTCACAACTACAAAATGGGAGTTTATCATTTTGTATTGCACGGAAGTCTCACACATATAAAGATAAGTTGAGAGTAGCATACATATTTTTATTTGAAAACAAGGAGATGGAGAAATTTCACGAGACTTTGCCCAACTGAAAATATTGCACTAGTGTGAGTTTAATTGTACAAATAACATCTATCGTTGTAACTAAATAAAGCATTAATATAATATAATAGACATGAATCGTGTGAGATATCTCTTATAGTTGTAGTGACAGGAGGCTTGAGGTGCATAATTAAGGCAATGCTGTTGTTCGACTTGATTGTTCTCTTGACAAGGAGATTGAACGATCAATAAGGCGAGCATTGGATGTCGATCTTTGGCAAGTGTTAGGCTCTAATCAATGAGGAACGTAGTAGTTTGAGTGATAATGGGTGGAAAATTTGATTGTTCTCTTGATAGGAGGATATATGAGAGCTCAGAAAGACATACGTAAGACGTCAGTGGATGAAGGATATTAGACATCAACCATTGACAAGCATTTTATGTTGACCAATGATGAATGCTAGACATTGGGTGATGGTGTGCGATCGGTTTGAGGATTTTCTTGATAAGAGGGGAGATTGAGAGATTTGGCGATTGGGAAGATGGGCATTAAACTTTGGTTTCTGACCGACACTAGATATAGTAGCCTAGATGTGTGAGACAACAATTTATAGGAAATGTTAGAATGCTAGAAATGGTGGGTGGTTAGCTTGTTTTCTTGATAAGAGGGAGATTGAGCAATTGTAAAGATGAACATCGGACATTGATTTTTGGAAAATTTTGAATGTTGCATGTTGGTAGGTGTCGGTAGATAGGGAATATCAAAAGTCAAGTCACAGTGAGCATTTAATTTGGTTGTTCTCTGGAGAGAAGGGGAGATCCAACACCTGAAAAAATGAGTTTTAGATGTCGGTGACTGACAAACATTTGGCATTAGACATTGACTAGTTTTGGGCATTGTTGAGCGATAAATTTATTCGTTCTCATGATATTAGGGTGGATCAAAAAATAAGGAATACGAGCAACCCACAATAGTTAGTGGCATTGGAGAAGCATCATTTGGTGATATCAAAAGTTGGGTAATCGTAGATGTTCAGTTGAGTCATTCTTCTAATAGAAGGGGAGATTGAACGACGAGGAAAAAGGGCTTAAGACAATTGATATCAATTTTTGGTTGATGTCTGATGGTAGCAATGATGGACGAAAAATTTGGTCAATGGTCAGCACTATGTGATGATGATGGCAGTCATTAATGTTGGTTGATAGGTGGTATTGGGCGGTGGTGACAATTGGTGTTGATGTAGGTCGACAAACGATGCCATGTAATGGCAATAACATACACCAATGTTAGTCAACAATTGATGCCGAGTGGTGAAGATGATAAGCATTGCTTTTGGTCGATGGACAATGCTAAAGCTGTGACAACAACAAAGGTCGATCATTGCTATATGTCAAATGATGGTCAATGAAGAACACCAAAAGTTGAGAAATCCTAGGCTTGATTCTTATGATAGGAGGGGAGATCAAGGGGCCAGGTAGATGAATATCGATTATTGGTGGGCGTAAAGCAATATTGAGTATTTGATTTAGTCGTCATCTAGGGAAGTGTTTTAAAAAAAATTATGATCCTATTTGAAGTACAACCAACACCTTAGAGAAATTTGAATGTAATTTACCCAAAAGAAATTATATTGTTTCTGGGGCTTAAAGTTTCCTGCTTAGGACAAGGATTTTGTTTTCCCAATATTCTTAACTTTACAAATCACATAACCGAATATTACTAAAAGAAGTAAAGAACTGACAACCAAAATCATTTCCCACACATCCAAGCCATTGAATACATGCCAGCTCATTGCCATTTTTAAGCCCTACAACTTTTCCGTTTAGTAGCCACATGATAGCAATCAAAAACCAAAAGTGGAATTGAAATCTCAGCTTTATTAAAGGATTAAAAGCTAGACTTGGATTATTATAACTGGAATATATATTCCCTTAATTGTGTTGAACTCTAGTACTTTGTATTCCTCCATGAGATTTGAACCATAGAACTTTACTGACTACAATTATAATGTTCTCTATGAATGATGATAAACTACACCTTGTTAGTCAAGAAACTTTTTAGACGAATGCTTCGTGTCGTAAGTTGCATCCTCCATGTAATCAATGTAATAAAATGAGTTAAGCTTACGATGGTGCTCATCCCTTGGAGAAGTCGGCTTTCTCTGGAGATCTCATCAAAACCGTCAACTCAAATAACTCACTTGTTGTATGAGGCTTCTCGTATAGATGAACACCTTCGAGGTAGGTTGAACTTCTATTTTATCTAATTTTGTATGTGTGTGGCCAGGAGTGATATCTAGAAACTATCTAATTGGAACACATAAATAGAGTATTTGTCATCAAGTTCCTACTAGGGGGGCAGCTGTTGCACTAGAGTAGGGAGCAACTAGAGGAGCTTTGTATCTTGGATGAGCTTCAACATCAAGCTCAACAAAATCGCGAGCCGTGCTTGTATGACTCATGCTCAAGGTAAAACCCATGACTATTGTAGTTAGAGAGCTTGTGCTAGCTTTTTAATGACCTATTGTGGTTCACCATTGCAAATGCAATAAATTTGAACCTATTTTGGACGGTCCCTTCATTATATAAATGTCTATAAAGAAGAGTCGTAGTAGCTTATTAAGCACAAAGGCATCAATCTAATGCCTCCCATCAAGTGACATGATAGAGTAGGGAACAACTTCTTGTTTATAGAGTCGGGAAAAACTTCTTGTTTCTCTCCACATTCGTGAAATTTTAATTTGAGATTGATAATGGTTGCTTGGACATAACTGTTGTGACATGTCTCGCTACCTGGCCACTTTGCTAAACACCTTGTGAGATCCAACCATTATTGGGAGGGATATTCAACACCTCATATATTATATGTTGTGATCGTTTATGGCATCCAAAGGATGTTGCAACTTGGATTTCAAAGTCTAAGGCTGCAAATGAATCCAGTTGAGTCAAGCAGGGGCTTGCTTGAGCTTGAGCTTGAGCTCATTAGCTAAAGTCCTATTTGAGATCAAGGTTGAGCTTGATTTGAGCATTTATAATAGTGTTTAGACTTGATTCATTTAAAATTATATATAGTTATTTGAGCATGGTTTGAGCTCAACTCATTACCTAATCAAGTGAGTATTATTGAGCTTATTAGCGAGCAACATTACCAAGCAATTTGTTAGTTATCTACATGAGTATTCTTGAGATTATTAATGAGCAGCCTATTAGCTTAAAAAGGAAATTTTAATTGAATGAATTGCTAAATAAATAGGCCTTTTAACTAGCATAAACGAGTATCATATGTTCATGAACAAAAGCAATAATATAGAAAAGAACAAAGCACCCCCCATAATTACGTATTAAATAAATTTGTAATCGAGTTTTAAATGGGCGTATTATCAAGCTTTAATCAAGTTTGTTCACGAACTTTAAATAATATTATTCATAAGAAAAAACAAATCGTACTTAAGCTGTTTTAATTTGTTAATTTATTAATTGGTTATTTATAAACGTGTTCATTCTTGTTTGATTAATTAATTAACGATCATGAATGACTTATGGTTCAAACCACGAATAGCTTGTCAAGCATATTGTTTCATTTGTAGCCCTACCCTATTCGAATGAGGGGCATATCTTTGCTTGACCAAGGCACCAAGCATCCACTAGAAGTGAAATGTTGCTTCTTAGTACTACCAGATTAAGATGACCCATAAGTGTAATCCCAAAATACACTCAGAGAGTTGAGTTGGTCAAAATGCATTTTCAACATATTATAAAAACTTAAGGTATAATCTACTTAGCATATTTTACAACCATCTTTCTTTATGCATGAAGTGCTCTCAGCTTAGACAAAACATATCATAAGCATGGCATTTAATTGTATTTATGTTTTGAGTTTATGAGATGAGTGAATATTCCTAAAAGTCTTCCTCTAGGTTTAACTAAACCGTCGATTTTTAGTTCATGTAATTGGCTTGAATGTTGGAAGGTTCTCTAGAAGGTTAATGCTGTCATTAGTGACTCTAGTTTTTAGCCACTTATGTGTGTATGACAACAAGATGCACCTTTGAGAGACTTAAGATCTCTCTCTTGCTCATTTTGTATATAAATCATATCTAACATGTGACAATTACAATTATTAAATATCCAATGATGTTATATATTTGTCTTTTAAAAGATTAATTTCAATATTTTTGGCATTACCATGCAACATATCTACATAGTTCTAGTCAAAAGTAGGTAAGTTATAAATAGGAATTTTTTTGGTTAGGGTTTAGGGTTTTGAAGGTGATATTTACATCCTAAATTTATTTAGATTTTAATATAAGTTTCTATAATGCTATGTTATAGAATTAGGGTCTGATGTAATAGTTTTTTTTTTTCCAAGTTTCTAATCTAGAGATCATGGAAATAGCTTTTCTTATAAGGCAAGGGGGTAATCTATTGATATCAAAGACCTCTTATTGTAGGAGTCTTGTACTATGGCATTGCTTTTTTTTTTTAGATGGCTATATATAGAATGTTTTGAATGGTGATATCTTCTTTTTAAACTATTTGATATCATCATATTGTGAATTTTGAATACCAAGTGAAAGATATCACATGGTATCCTTATTATAGGGTGAAAATAAGCCGATGTTGAGTCGGTCTAACACCAGGTTAAAATCAATGGTTCGCACATGTTGGTTGACTCAAAATCAATCAGTGGGTCAAATCACTAATTTCCGAGCTGATATATCAAATTAGCTCAAGTTTATTCTAGCTTGACTTCAATGATCTTTAGCTTTTTTACAATTTCTTAATTTATGTTTGATTCAAATTAGGCTCTAATTGAAATTTTCTCAAAAGATTTGACCGATCCAAATTACTAGGAAGTTGCTTGGCGTAGTTATTGTATTTGAGTCAAATATTGATCCAATATTTAAACGACCTATCATCAAGCTATTTTCTCGATTATACATGCCAAAGTGTGTCAAATAAAGGGGTAAATTTATTTAATTTGATAGAGTGTGCACTAAAAGATCATGCCATTTTAGAATCTGATAGGCAATTTTGGGCTGATGATAATGTTCTCTAAACTAAATTTATGGATTACACCTTATAAGTTAGTAAGCCATATATCAAGATAATTTTTTCACAATTTTAGTCCAAATTTTGACCCTAAAAATTTTACAAGTGTAAAGATTTGTGAAAGCAATGTCATTTGATTTAAGCACTTAAATTAGTTTCATTGCTGCCATCAAATTTTCTAGCTTTAGTACTTTAATATTTCTTCCTTTTTTTCAATAAGAAAATTGGTAATAAAAAAAAGTAATTTCAAAATACCATTCATCTAAGACCTCCACTAATTTTTTAGCACATGCGCCATATTTTATGAGAACTATAATTAAATTGAGATCACCATAATTATAATAAATGGGCTATATTTAAATTCATGTGTAAATCCCTCTCCATCACTTCAATTACCATTATAGCAAGCTTGGCTTAAGCTAAGAGTACAAACAAACTGAATTTGAGCTAGCTCAAGTGTTTTTCTTCTAGGTTCGTTAAGTAAACAACCCTAAATTTTCATTTGTATTTGGCTCGTTAACTTATCGAGCCGAACATGAGCTATACTGAAAAATTAGATATGCATATACACTATCTATAAAAGGTTGTCAAATTAGAGCTAATTATAAAGATGAACATGAACCGACGAACTTTTTTTTTTATAGTTCTAGGCCTTAAGATAATCTTGGCCTACCTACAATAGATCTAACACTTGTTTTGAGTTCTAATTTTCCTGTTAAATATATGATCCATTCTATATTTAATCATACAAAGTTAGATTCATTATATGTTAATTATCTATTTTGAGATCAATTTTAATAATAAGAAAAAAATAAACAATTGTTCACTAAACTACTGTATTTGTTCAACGTCTTGATAATGATGGCCCAACATCTTTCCAGGAAACATGCTGCATCTGTAAGTTTGTACCCAATCCATATAACATCTTCCAAAAAAACAACCTGCTGCCACCAGCCCAAAAGAAAGAAACTTTAGACCAATCAATTGATGCCCACACCTTCTGTAAGCTATTTGTTCTTTATGTTTTTTGTTGTTTTCTTCTCTTGAGACATTCCACAGGTCAAAAGTCACTGAGATGGGGATTAGAGGAGACAAATATAAAGAGAAAAGCCATTGTATTTCTTTAAATTTCTAAGAGAAAATGAAAGTACAGATATAATGCTTCCAAAGTTTTTTCCTGGTTTAATTTTACATATCACCGGTACTTTATGTGCCGAATGTTGGCCATTAAAAGAGAAGCATAATACTGAGTTAAGTGTTGCATAGATGAAGATGCTTAGGTGGATGAGTGGCTTTACCCTTAGAGATAGGATACAAAATGAGCATAGACGTGAAAAGGTTGGAGTAGTTCTAGTGGAAGATAAGATTAGAGAGAGTCGTCTTAGATGATTTGGTCAGATATGACCCTGTCAGAAATGTTGAGGTATTAGATTTGACTTATGTTAAGATTAGATTTGACTTATGTTAAGAAAGGTAGAGGTAGACCTAAAAAGACTTGGTTAGAAAATATTAGAAATGATCTTTCGTTATTAGATTTAAATGAGAATTTGACTTTTAAAAGGACACAATGGCGAAAAAGTATTCATGTAGCCGACCCTCCATAGTGGGACAAAGGATTGATGTTATTGTTACCGTTTTCTGTTTCTGGTTCACTACAAAGTATTTACAGAAATGTAACGACTCTATTTTCGTTTTCACATACTGAATAGATGAGACAAAACCGTTAATCTTTTTCATATTTTATGTGGTCTGCTTTTTACCTTTCTTGATGTAACTAGACCACCTTTAATTTCAGCAAAATCTATGCACCATATGTTTGGAACCTGTCATCTTCAACGAAGATGGTAGCAGCTGCAACCAGTCAAAGGTCTTCACTGCTCAATGTTCTCACTCCTTCCATCTAACGTGCATTGTCTCCAACATTCGACATGGAAATATGACTTGCCCGATATGCCGCACCCATTGGTCTCACCTTCCCCGCCACCTTCTCTTTGCTTCTCGTGCTCTTCCTCCTCTTGAATCCTCATCATCTGATCCTGTTCTTCGCATACTCGATGACTCTATCGCCACCTCTCGTGTCAACCGCCGTTTTTCCCTTCGTTCCACTCGATACAACGATGATGACCCAACTGAACCCAATTCAACTTCCCTCACTCGCCTTCTTCTTTCCTTTATTGGGCCCTCTACTCATTCTCCTTCCAGTCTTCTTCTTCGCCTTGCTCCCCAATCACCTATTGATCTTGTGCTTGTCGCAACGCCCAATGGCTCACACCTTCGACTGCTCAAACAAGCAATTGCACTTGCTGTGTTCTCTCTCCGCCCCACCGACCGGCTCGCACTTGTCACCTGCTCGCCTGCAGCCGCCACCCGTGCTTTCGCGCTTCACCGTATGTCTTCACATGGTAAGCGTACTGCTCTCCAAGTAATCGACCGTCTCTCCTACATCGGCGAGGTTGATCCAACAGAAGGTCTACAAAAAGCTGCAAGGATATTAGAGGATCGAGCACATCGAAACCCGGTTTCCTGCATTCTACATCTTTCAGATAGTCCGATTGCGCGAGTGGTCGACCAACAAGTGCATTGCTTCCATGTTGGATTTGGTTTCGGGGCTTCAAGCGGGTTCGTCATGCATGAATTTGAGGAGTTTCTAGCACGGGTGATCGGCGAGGAGATTAGAGACGTGCATTTGAGGATTGGGAAGGAAGGCAAGGAGGTTAGGATCGATGATTTGAGGTGCGGCGAAGAGAGGAGGATTCCGATTGATTTGAGCAGGGAGTCTGAGTTCATTTATGTAAGCTATGAGTATAAAGAATGTGGCGGCAAAGAGATTATGGTGACGGGAGAAATGGTGTTGGAGATTGGGGAGAAAGGAGAAGGGAGATGTGAGGAGGAGATGAGCAATGGAGTTGGGCCAAGGAGGAGCTGTGCAGAGAGATGGGATTATCTTGATCCATTCATGGCTAGGAGATGGGCAAAGCATTTGCATGGATATAAAGCTTAACTATGATATTGATTTAGGTTTTCGTTTGGGACTATTTTTTTATTGATTCTTAAAGTAATTTTTTAGTACAAAAATTAATTTTTTAATACTAAAAAGCTGCATTAAGAAGCAATAAAAAGCCGTCCCAAATGAAATCCTAGTTGTTTTGAATGAAGGCCAAGTTCAGGGCAAATTATTGCATCTGGTCACCTGACAGAGAGGTCCGAACGGATCTCTCTCTGTCTACAGTAAAGCGCAGGTGAAGCGCAGGTATGCTATAGTACCTGCGCTTTCACTGTAGACAGAGAGAGCTCCGAACAGATCTCTCTGTCAGGTGATCGGATGCAATAATTTGCCCAAAGTTCAGAGATTTTTTTTTTCAGTATTTGTGTTCTTGTTAAGATTTGTCTTTGTCAGATTTTTTCATTGTAACTATTAATATGCTTTGTGTGAATGCAGTTGATTTTTGAGAAGCTAAAAAAAGTAAAATATGTCAAAAATATATTTTTTATTTAATTTATAGTTAGAAAGAGTTTTTTATAAAGAGATTTGATGGTAAATTTGTAAAAAAAAAAGTGGGGGTAAAGTTGTCAATTAACATTAAACCTCAATGGACTGTTAACATTCTTTGATTTCCATGAATTGAATGGGGAATGAGAAGCAAATGAAAATGAAATAGGAATTGAATTAAAATTAATTTTCATCCTTTTATTTGTTTGAGGAGGAATATACTTTAAAAGATTTTTAATGATTTCAATCAAATGTTCTTATCTTTTTTTTTTTTTGCAATTTAGATGAATATTATAATAGCTTATTAAAAAATAGATTTATTCATATTTATAAATAATTTTAAGTATTTAATAATTATCTTCCAATCAAACCAAAAACAGTAAAATTATAAATTAAAAATATATTTATATTCTCTTATATATAACTGAGCCTCAATAACTTCACAAACCCATTTGACTCATTTACACCCTCACTACTTTATCCAATAAAGCTATCGTATGATCCCCCCGACTTCTAAACTCCACCATCTGTGCTTGGTGAAATTATTTTGTGTGGATACCGACACCGTACTGAGATAAATAAGAACATGCCACATCATTTTTTTTGCTATAAACTGCTGTCTACCGGATGACGTAGTTGGTTTTAATTCATCTCCATACGGTATGATGTCCGCACAGAATAATCTCTCTTGTGCTTGATGGCTACCACTATTCTCTTATCTACAAATTCAAAACTGGCCAAAAGTCATCATCACTGATGTTCTGAAGCTAAAAGTTCTTCCCTACACAAATCTTTCATTTGTGGTAGAAGCACCTCTTCAAGCATTTCATATATTTCCTCGTGCTGGGAATGAACTCTATCAGCAGCAAAGAACACATGACTCCTCATCTTCAAATCAATCTGACTAAAACCAGGAACTTTCTCCACCCTCTGCTCCCTCATCATCTTCCTCACCCTTGCCACATCATTCCATTTCCCCATTGATGCATAACTATTAGCCAAACTCACAAATGTTCCAGAACTTGATGGTTCCAGCTCAATCAAATCCTCTGCAACTTTACTCACTTTCTCAACCTCACCATGTACCTGACAAGCTCCAAGCATTGCACCTAAAACAGCAGAATCTCTCTCACTTTCAGGCACCAGACTCAGTACAGAACTCGCTTCGCTAATCCGACCGGCTCGACCGAGAATGTCCACCAAGCAACAATAGTGCTCGGCCTTTGGCTTCACTCCATATCCTCTTGTCATTGAATCAAAAACCTTTCTACCCTTTTCCACCAAGCCAGCATGATTACAAGCAGATAAAACACCAATGAAGGTGACTGAATCTGGCTGAGCTCCATAGCTCAGCATCTTAGCAAAAGCCTTCAATGCATAGAGCCCACAGCCATGATTTGCAAAAGCCAGAATCATCGAAGTCCACGAGACGAAATCTTTTGCTTTTAACTCATTGAAAGCAAGCCAGGAAGAGCTCAAGTCACCATTTTTGGAGTACATAATCACCAGAGCATTTGACAAACAACTATCTAACACAAAAGATAACTTTGTAGCCAAAGCATGAACCTTCATACCTGCAGCCATACTATCACATCCAGCTAAAAGACTAGTAAGTGAAGCCTCATTTGGCTTTACTGGTGATCTAAGCATGAGGAGGAGAATCAACAGAGCTTCATAATGAGATCCATTCTTACAATATCCATCGATCATTGCATTCCAACTTACAATATTCTTTTCCGGCATCAGATCAAAGAGTTCTCGAGCTATATCAATTTGTGAATTGCTGGCGTATGCAGTTATCATTGCATTCCAAGATGCTATATCTCTTGTTGGCATTTGATCGAACAGCAGTCGAGCTTCATCGATCATCTCATTATCGGCTAATCCTGATATCATGGTGGTCCAAGTAACAGCATTTTTACGAGGCATGGAATCAAACAGACTGATTGCTCTACATATTTGCCTGCAATGCAAGTATCCTTTAATCATAATATTCCAAGAGTACAAGTTCCTCTGGGGCATTTTATCAAATACCTGTCCTGCTTCTTCGATTTCACCTTCTTCCACATAAGCCTTGATCATAGCAGTCCAAGCCACTGTGTTTCTCTCAGGCATTCGATCGAACAGGGTTCGAGCGTCCGATAAGAATCCATTTCGTGCGTAACCAAGAACCATTGTGGTCCATGAGACCACGTTCTTCTCCGGCATTTCATCAAATACCTTCTGGGCTTCCTCAACTCGGCCAGCGAGCCAATAACCAGACAGCAAACTCGTCCAAGTGAAGACATTTCGGACGGGCATTTTGTCGAATAATCTCCGGGCTTCATCGATCCTGCCAACCTTCGCAAGACCATGGATCATGGCGGACTCCGTCACCACATTTCTCTCTGGAATTTTCTTGAACAGCGCCTCCGCTTGCGGAAAGTCTCCATTTTTAAGGTAAAGGTTGATCATGGAGGCATAGGTGACTACGTCTCGTTGAGGCATCTGATCGAACAAGACCCGGGCTGCATTGATATCTCCTCGCCGGCCGAGAGAGGAGATTCTGAGATTGCAGCCATAGATGTCGCGATGAGCTGCTTCCAAGCCGAATTCGACATGGAATCGTTTCTGAGCTTGTATGGTTTCGATGATGGGTTCGCTATGTGATATTGGTTCGGCGAGGCCTGAGAAGGTGCGGAAACGGCCATTGAGGTTGAGGTTCTGAGCCTGTGGGGATGGAAGAAGAGTGATGATGAGCCTCCTCATATTTCAAACGGTAGAGATCATTCATCTCTATTATATGTTTATTAAATATGATTTTTATTCCTAATATAATAATTATAATTTATTATCTGATCATCCTTATTTATCTTGTATTGTTTATGAAGGATTAAATTATCACAAAAATTGATAAAATTCAATAAAAAATAATATCTCCTACATAATCCTACATATGCTCACATGCCAAAGAGCACGGATGTCAAAATGGGTCAAAGGGTTAGATTCGGGTTCGGCCATACCCAAATTTGATCAACTCTAATCAAACCCATTTAATAAATAAGTCGAAAATATGAACTAAAATCAACCCGCTAGTAACCCAAATGGTCAGAACCCGACCCAATCATTCATTTGATTTTTTTTTTTACTTTTAACAATATATTTTAAATTAATTAATAAAAAATAAAACAATCATATCACTAAATAAAAAATTTAAAGAAAAAACAATTTAGATGAATCATTTCAGGACAAAATCGAGTTGTCGGGTCAACCCGAACTAAACTCAGAATTCCATATTCGAACCCAACCAATTTCTTAAACGAATTAACCTGGCTCCTGGTTTTTCAGGTCAGTTTAACAAGTCGGGTCATTTTTTAACACCCCAACCAAACAGTGCACAATTACATCATTGTGTGCTCCCATAATTTGATCTAATTCTACATATATCATCCACACATGATAATTTCTCCTAAAAAAAAAATATCTTTGAAGCCATTACTAATGATTTAAACAACTTGCATGCCAAAGCCCCTTATCATCATAAACTTTCAACAAATGATAACAAAATTGTACATATTGCTTATATTAGGGTTCCAACAATCGAAAAATGCATTATAAAATGAATTTTTTGTATAGACATATATAATATAATTGAGAGGGCATCTCAATATTGGGGCGAATTATTACGTCCGGTCACCGGACGTCTGGACACCCAATCCAGACGCTCCACGTCACCCGAATACACTGGGTCCCGATATTTTTTGGTGATGTGACGCATCTGGATTGGTGGTCGGACGAATCCGAACACCGGACGTAATAATTTGCTCAATATTGGGGTGCTATAGAATTTTAGAGAAATTTTTCAACTTACTATACATTTTGGAAGAACCTCACTGGAAGTTCAAATTGTCTACCATTATTTTTAAGGATTTATTAAACAATATGCTTTAAAATTTTCCATGATTTAATGGAAGAGGGAGTAAGCCTAAGGGATTGCATGGCTTAAGATGACTTTAATTCTTAGTAGGAATTAATAAATTATAAGAGGATTAAATTTTAAAAATTAATTGATATGATAATTATTAAAGCTTCATTTGGAACAACTTTCTTACTGCTTGCTATAACAGTTCTTTAGTACAAAAAAATTTTGAACAAAAATTTTTATATTAGAAAGCTGCATTAAAAATCAAATTATTCCAAAAAAAATCTAAGATTTCATTTGGAACAGTTTTCTTAGTACTTCTTAAAGCAGCTTTTTTTATAAAAAATAAAATTTGAATACTATAAAATTACTTCAAAAAGTAGTAAGAAAGCCATCCCAAATGAGGCCTAAATCTTTATAGATGATTTGGCTATTTATTTGAGGAATTAAGATTAATGAGAATGAGAAACTCTTAAATCCTTGAAATTCTCTGAATGATTAAATTTAATCAATAATGAGACTGAAATTAATTAAAATTTTCCAAAATGTAAATTCATTAGGCAGAATTTAACCTGAATCTTGCCTAAATTCTGCCCAAAATTAAAAAAAAAAAAAAAAAAAATTTTTTAAATCCTAATAAGATTTATGAGAGAAAATAATCAATAAATTCATTAAATCTTGTAAATGATGAGATTTAACTAATTATAAATCCACCCAATTATGAGTCTGATTTGAAACAAATCAATTTAGCAAGATTTAAAATCTTCAAAAATCAATTTAGCAAGATTTAAAATCTTCAAAATTATAATAAAAATATGATTTAATTCCTTTAAAAAATAGGATAGCAAACAACTCTTAAATATGAAGAATAAATCTTATTAATCAAAGCAAAAGAATATTCAAGTCAATGAACAGCTCAACATATTTCCCCGCATGTATCAAAGTTCATAAGTTGACTAGTTTATTAAAAAAAAAAAAGCAAAGCATTATTTTTATTATTATTATTATTATTTTTTAATCTTATCCACAGCAACAATTTAAGAAGGGAGAATGAGGCATTATGAGCTAAAAGTCATAGGAGAGATTGATCAATTGGGCTATCCAAAATACAAAGAATGTATCATAGATGATTTAGGTTTCGTTTTGAATAGCTTTCTTACAGCTTTGCTTTGTAGATCACAATCATAGTTTATGTTTGAATATAAATTTTTCTTTGCTTTCAAGATTTTTTTGTAAAAAATTAAGCTTTCTACAATAACTTTCAAAAAAGCTAATTTTCTCATAATATTTTTACAACCACTATAAAATGTTGCGTTAATCTCAAACGAATCCTTAGGCTTTGTTTCATGGAGTTTTTGACTAATTTGTGTTAGAAAAAACAATCAATAATATATATCTATATTACATAGCTTTTTTAAAAAAAAAAAGTTTCGTTTGGTACAGTTTTCGTAATACTTTGTTTTTAAGACTGCAACCATAATTATATTTTATCATTGTGTTTTCACTGCTTCCAAAAAAAATTATTCTAGAAAGCCACTTTCTACAAAAGGTTTAAAAAGTTACTTTCTTTACAACAGTTTTACAAAGCAGTAAGAAAAATATCCCAAACAAAGCCTTAGGCTTCATTTCGGACGGCTTTTTTACCGTTTTAGTACAAAAATAAAAAATTTTGTACTAAAACTCCGTTTTAGAAAGCAGTAAAAAAGCCGTCACAAACGAAGCCTTGATCTTTAAAAAGCAATATTTTGAAAACATATTTAAAAATGGGATTGAAAAAAGAACTTTTAAAAGCATAAACTGACCGAAATAAAACCTTAATCAATTGATTTATTAAGTCTGAGCTATGCTCTATAAATATATGTGTTGGAATTGTTCATCACATCTTGGTTGGAATAATGCTACCCATACAGATTTGTTGTGATTTGTTAACCTAACTGGTTGATTTTTATTAGCCAATTTTATTTATTATAATATTTGTAGAGCCCTCACAACTACGAGCCGTTATTACGTCCTCCGACCGGATGCAGATGAACATCTGGTCGTAGGCAAAATATCGCATATACCGAGGTGTACCGAGTTTTTTTGGAAAAACTCGGTACACCTCGGTATAGGCGGGATTTTGCCTACAACCGGATGTTCCTCTGCATCCGGTCAACCGAACCAAATAAAGTTCCACAACTACACAATCAAATCGGTCACCCAAATTCAAGTGTAAGAATGACCAAAATTATAATGGTTGACTGTCTTGTAATTTTGAAATGATCAAAAAATGGGTCGGGTTTGGGTCAGGTCGAACAGTGTCGGGTTAATTCCGGGTTAGATCTGAACCCGACCCATGACCAGATTTTGACAGCCCTACAAACAAACAATGAAAAAGCCTATGTGAATTGTGTCCCATAGTGCCCAAAAATCTGAAGGTAAATGCCTAAGTGAAGCCATTTGGCAAATAAAGAAGGCCCAAAGTCAGAATCAGCATACTCTAAACAAAGAAAATGTATATATATTAATGAAATAATTTATTCATTGATTTGGAATAGGTCAAGTTAGCAGAAAACGCCACCAATCAAATAAAGCTTTCCCTTTCAAAAACAAATCTAATAACATCTGTTCAGATTACTATTCAAATTCTACAATTCTCTTCTCTGCAATTGACTTCTTTTTATTTTCTTCAACAAATCCTGTTCTTTGGATTCAGGAATCTCTCCGAGAATTTGAGAAGAAAGTTTTCTTCTTTTCTGTAACAGTTCCAAGGTAAAATCCTTATCCATCTTCCAAGTTTTCAGCTTCCAGCTTCTGTTATTTTGCACAGAAATTTTTTTCAGAACTGCAAAAATTTGATTTTTTTTTTTTTTTTTGGTGCCTTACACAAGCTTATGGAATTTGAGTCATTTTGATTCAGGAATCTAAAGAAGTTTCAGAAGAAATTGTCTTTTTTTTCTGCATAAGTCTAAGGTAAAAGCTTTATCCATCTTCAAAGTTCTCAGGTTCCAGATTCTGTTATTTTGCACAGAATTTTTTTTCAAGACTGCAAAAAGAATGGTTTCTCTTTTTCCTGTACCTAACACAAGCTTAGTGAATTAGAGGAAGAATCAATGGCATCATTTGCAATAGAGGAGTTTGTGGGTGATGGAGTTCTGAGTGGGCTAATTCCTAAATTTGTAGCAGCGGGATGGGATGATGTGCCAACACTGAAGATGATAAATATGGAGGATATGGAATTGCTTAAATTGACACAGCAGCAGCAGGTTGGATTCATTTCTCAATTCATTTTGCCATATTTAGGCCTCGTTTGGGACTTTTTTTTTACTGCTTTTTAAAGCAGTTTTTTAGTACGAAAATTTATAGAAATTTTGGTACTGAAAAACTGTTTTAGAAAGCATGAGTGGGCTAATTCCTAAATTTGTAGCAGCGGGATGGGATGATGTGCCAACACTGAAGATGATAAATATGGAGGATATGGAATTGCTTAAATTGACACAGCAGCAGAAGGTTGGATTCAATTCTCAATTTATTTTGTCATATTTGAGCTTTGTTTGGGACGGCTTTTTTACTATTTTTTAAAGCAGCATTAATGCACGAAAATTTATAGAACTTTTTTACTAAAAAATTATTTTAGAAAGCATTAAGAAAGCCGCCCCAAACAAAGCCTTAGATACTTAACAAAAAATATTTCTCAGTTTTCTTTTACTGATAAAACTATTTGAGAGCTATGGAGGGCAAAAGAAATTTTTTGGGTCTAAGATTTGAACTTTTGTTAAGATACCATAGAATAAGCTTATTAAGATAGCATAGAATATTTAAATGCATCAAAAACAACATGCCAAGGCATTGATTGCTATATAATAAAACTGAAGGCATGGTAAGGCACCAATCCTAAGGGTTATACTAATTTCACCCGAAGGATATAAATAATAAATAGAATTTAAGATATGTTTAAGGCATTGGCGCATCCAATGGGGTGCATCAATTTTCAATTGAATGAGTATAATTATATATAATGGATCACAATGCAATTTAAGACATCAATACACTCTAAGGGATACAAACATAAATTCTAAGGGGTGCAAAATTTTATCCTTAGTAATACAAGCCTGCTAAATCATCATAGGCAAAGCTTTCTTTACTGTTTTGACTAGGGTATACCCCGTAAATTCTAGAAGATGGAACCTAATGATTTTAATAATGTTTAGAATCCATCTCTGTAATAATTTCCTTATGCAAGAAGCTATATTGCAAAAGAACATTTATGAAATGCCTTTGGATAAAGTGAATACCTAACATGTAGATATGAGCAAGCTCTTCAATTGAGGGCTCTCTCTAATTGGGATGAGTAATTTATGCGGAGACAATTTTCGCTCAAATTCTGAGAGCAGAATGAAAGGAAAGGAGATAGAGAATATGGATACGGTGAAAATTTTCTTAAATGGACATTCAATGACAGAATGAGGTGGTCAGAAAAGTGTGGGATTAGAGAAAAAGGAGTTGGTGCTAGGGGAGCAAAGAGAAGCACTTACAAACCCTTCGACTTGATGTTGAGAGAAAAATAAGACAACTAACGAAAGAAGAGAACCCTCGAGGTAGGTGAAGAACCAGAGCCCTAAGCCATACTAAGCTTCTAAGCAAGTTTGCAACCCTGCTTAGTTTAATCCAACTTCTTTCTCTAATGAGCTTATAAAAGACCCTAAGTTAGAAATTATTTTTAGCTTTGTTGACCCCTGCACACCAAATCACGTGCAAAAGAGGCTAAACCAGCGAAATAAGCAACACACGCATAGACGCAACATGTCACTTGGAGGTCCAAACGACCTCTGATTGTCAAATGGACAACGTCGTTGCAATCAAGACATCGAATTTGTCTAAGTCGTGACCTCTTGTGGTCAAATCTGACGAGATCGGTTCAAAGAAAGGACCGACACCCAAAATTAATGCACGACACCACCCAAATGACGTCTGATCGTAGAACGGACTTTGTCGTTGCCTCCGAAACGACACTAAAAAATTACACCTTATTCAATCAATTGGGATCAGCCGAGATGGTGGCACGAACCCCGAGGTGATGACATGCAAATCGAAGAATTTAGCACTCGACATCGCCCAAACGATGTTTGTTCACAGTATGGATTCCGTCGTTGCGTACGTAACGTCCTCAATACTAAAAAATCATATTTTATTTGTTCAATTGGGATCTTCCGATGCGATGGGATGAATCCCGACGCAACAACATGCAAATCGAGAAAGTTAGCACTTGACGTCACCCAAATAATGTCCGATCACAAAACGGTCTTCGCCGTTGCGTCCCTTCAATTAAGAGGACAATCTACTATTGGAGACATGAGCGGGGTAATTTCACCCCTTCAATTAATAATATTGCACAAATATTAAAGTATTTATTTATTTAACATTTTAAACATTTCATTTTGCATCTCATCTCTCTTTCTTTCCTCCACATCTTCCCTCCTTAAGACTTAACTAACGCTCTAATCATTCAAATTTAAAGACCCAAACATCATATAATGTATAAAAAAACTTTGAATTTAAAAAACCTATTAATTCATATTTCGAAATAGAAAACATAAATCGTATTGATAACAAATTAATAACATTGAAAAAACAAATGACTTTCTCATATCCCTATAGTATTTTTAGTAAATCAAAAGTTATCAATTTAAGTTTTGACTAAAAAAAAGGTAAACTCACAAGAACTAAACATATTTCATAATTTGAGTTTTTAGGAAGCGATGGAGCTTAGAACATACTTACATGACAGATCCTTGATGCAATATGCTGATAGGATGGAAGCCTCTAAAGCGACACTAACTGAGCTTCTGAGCATGACAACCGTTTCTCTCTCCTCTCAATTCGGCATGAAGAAAGGCCATGTTTCTCGCTTTGTCAACAGAGAAAATGGTTATAGTAATCCAAAGCCGAGTTCGTGTGTTCCTCCTGCGATGGAAAATAACGTCAGTGAGACAAGCAATGGGAGTGAACATAATTCAAGCAAAGGGAGCTTACACAGCCTTAAGTCTCACTTAAAGTTAAATCCCAACTATGATCCACCCACTGCTAAAGCTGTTTTAGACCTGAAGCTCAATGATGGCCATGTATTTAAGGGAATTGTTGCTTCTAAACCAGCTTATCCACGACTATGCGGTTGGATTCAGCCACCACCAATTGTGAATGATGTTGCTTCACATTCTTCAATAGCAAATATTTCAGTGCAGAAGCTGACTCCAGAGTATAAAGCTGGCGTCCAACGTCTTCTGGAAAATAAAGCTCCACCTATGAAAGCTTCAGATTTATGGAGTAATAAGGCAACAGTTCTGTTGTGTATTCGACGCCCTGGGTACTAAGACTTTTGCAGCCAAGTATGTTTCTAAACTTCTTTTGTTCTTCCTGCTACTGAATTCTTAGATGTTCTTGTGTTTAGGTGCATTATGTGCAGAGCTGAAGCTCACCAGTTGTATTCAAGGAAACCTATATTTGATGCCTTAGGATTTCAACTTGTTGCTGTTCTACATGAACAGATTGAATCTGAGGTGATTTCTGATAGACTGATTTATGGTTTTCAATCATGTTTTCTTCATAAATATTAAAGTTTATTCATTATTGATGTTTCAGGTGATAGAATTTTGGCCTCGGTATTGGGGTGGGCTTGTTGTTGTAGACCAAACCATGGGATTTTTCAAAGCTCTAGGAGGTGGACAGCTACTCAAAGACAAGTTTTTAACAGGTTTTATTTTGAATTCTCATGCAAGAGCCAATTACAAGGCTGCCAAAGCTACTGGATTCGATCAAAATTTTAAAGGAGAAGGTGGAATCAAAGGAGGGATGTTTATAATTAGAAGTGGAAGAGGAGGTGTTGCATACCAGTTCATTGAAAGGACCTTCGGTGATTGGGCGCCTATTGGTGAAGTGGTAGAGATTTGCACTCGGATACAGGTGCGGTTTTCTGATCGATTCTCTGAGAAATTATTAGAAGAGGTTCATTAAAAAAAACCATGAAGCTCCCACTTTTAGGACTTGTAGAGATTAATTCCCTCAAATCTTTTCGTACATCCTAAAATCAGATTTTGATTTTAAGATCAAATCTGAACAGAATTGAAATTTTTTCGGCGGATTTATCAAATCTGAAGGTCCCAATATACAGCTATTAAGTTCCCTAGATATAACAGCTCAACAGCCTCATACATCTATTTGAAACATATCATGGCATGCTGCAGGGAGAAAAAAAAAAAAGGGTCAATCTCAGGTAGCTTCTCAGTTCCATTGATATTATCATAGAGACGCTAAATGCACTACATAAATGACGATAAGGGATAGAAGAAAACAAAAAAAAATTCGTATACAAATTTAAAAGAGTATATTTATTTTATCATAGGCATTTCTGCATACATCGTTCAAAGGTATGTAGTTAAGCGTGACTAACAAAAGATAGCATTTGCATTAAACAGTATCACTCAAAAGTACGGCTACAAGCGAATCAAACGTTCGACGAGCACTCGTTGCTCGGTTCGATTAAAACTCATTTGTGATCATTTAACTAACTAAACAAACAAACTTGAACAACATTTTTAATATTCGATTCTTAAATAAACAAGCTTGAACACTAATGTGTTCGGTTCATTTATGTTCACGAACAACATCATGTGAAGCTCATGAACAAGGTCGACATTAAGCTCGATTTGTGTTCGAATTAGAACTCGTGAATAAGCTCAATAAATATATTCATATAGATTATTCATATTTTCATTTTAAATAAACAACTCCTTTTATTATAAATTTAATTTCCTTTTATTTTATACCTTCAATAGAATGAATTTGTTCATGAACAAGAGACAATTCACATTTGTCAATGTTTGCTAGATTGTTTGTGTAAGATGTTCATTAACAAAAAAATAAAAAGATGTTCATGAACAAACACAAGATAAACCATAGATTATTTGTTCGTGAACTCGTTTGGTAGCTCCAAAATATTAGTTATGTATATATGCATGATCTTGCTCTTTTGATAGTTCAAGAGTACTCATTAGATTTGTTCATGAACGTGCTTGCTTGATAATGTAAAAAAATTCACTAAATATGTTCACAAACCTAGCTGGCTTGTTTGTTTAAAGCTTGATAAGCACTAAACGAATCGAACATAAACCAAACATGAACACTATTAATTTAAACGAACCAAATATGAACACAGACAATAAAGCTCGAATCAAACACGAACCGAACTTGAACAAGCTAATAATAAATGAATTGAAACTTGAACACTCACATATATACTCAGATCAGTTCGGTTTGGTTGCAGCCCTACTCAAAAGGTATCTTTATTGGATCGAACATTTATTCAACATGCTCTTATCTTTATTTGAAATTAATAACACATGCAGATACACAAATGATGAGCATAAAACTCAATAAGGCACACAAAATCTACCAAAAATTCTTGTTGTTCATCTCAGCAAAACATGCAATATAAATATGTGAGGTATTTTGTATGGCACAAAGAATCATGCGTAATATATAATAGTTCTTATAGATGTATAGTAGTATATCATATCTTATCATTATCGAGAATGCCAGTAAACATGTAGGTGATGCGCCTTGGAAGTAAAAACAGCAAACAAGAGAGAAGAAAAGCATAGGAACACAAGATAATAGCTATTTTTTGGATTTCTTCTTCAAAAGTAAAGCAATATACAATTGATCTACTATTCGAGAGGTAGAACAACTCTACCACAAACTCTAGCTGCCACAAAAAAAAAATCACTAAATAAAATTACAACAAATACAAATTATGCATAATTTGAAATCACCTCATAGTTAGCCCTAAAAAGGTTTCCTTAATCTGAAATCACCTCATAGTTAATTCCTGGACCCCGGGGGGGGGGGGGGGGGGGGCCCTGTTCTCTGTTGGGTTTGGTTCTTTTGAACCAAGCGGAGGGCTCCTACTAGATCGTAGCCTGGGCGTAATAGTATGTCATTCAGAATTAATATAAGAATGAAATCATTTTGAAACATACAAGTAGTCAATGCTTCAATTACTAAAGGCAATATAACTAGTCATTTCATTTCATGTTCATGTAAGAGTTGGCTTTGCATTCCATATCAATGCAATGGACATTTTTAGGCATAGTACCAATATTAATATTCATAATTGTCATAGTTATACAGTTGTTATTCTTTGGGCTAATTTGAGAGCTAATGTCAAGGTAATAATTGTAAAGCGTACTTAGTGAGTTATTGTAAGTTTTGATAGTTCATAGATAGTTAGAACTTATTAGGTAGTTATTAAGGATCTAAAGATTTATTTGGAGGTTTTTATTCTACAAACGCTCCTCTTAGAGAGAATTAGTGTATGCAAAATGAATGAAATGAGCTATGGCTTCTCCTTCTTACTCCTAATAAATTACTATAATTGTGGCCGCCCTTGAATTGCCCTGGTCTTTTTAGGCACACTTTAAGCGGTTATTTTCTTCTTATGGTCATAAAAATGATATTCTTGCTGAGAAGTTACACCAAAAAAATCAAGAAAATGTTAGGAAATTAAGAAGCAACTTCGGGCATTCCTAAAACTTCAAAAATATATCAGGGAATAAGACAAGGACAATTCAAGATTGTTCACAGCTCCAAGTATTGATTGGGGGAAAGGTGGAGAAATTATAGCTCATTTCATTCATTTTTATATCCTAATTCTTCTTAAGGGGAGTATTTATAGAATATAAAGACTGCAAATTACGTATTAGATAATTGATAAAAACCTAAAAATCACTACCTACCTGCCAACTATCAATACATGCAAATATACAATTACTCACTAAATAACCATTACAATCATACCCTGACAGCTAACAACGATTGAAGGTGGATACAGCTTGTAGCGGCTCCGATCGGAGGTCATCTTCAAACATAAAGATCATCGGCGACGACGAGAGTTGCAAAGACGATTCAAACGACTATCTATTCAACCCCGGCTTTTAGCAGCGGCCGGAGGCCATTAGTGTTGTTCGGAAGTGGCTGATTTCGTGAATCTCGGTTTAATGTCAGCACTAGTGTGCGTTAAAAGAACCAGTGAAGAGGTCGACGACGTTTGACATAGCCGGAGTTGGGCATGGTGGAGGAATTGTGGCCACAGAGTTCGGTCGACGAGCAACGTCGACGACTAGAGTTTAAGGCCAGTGGAAGCGGCCGATCATTAGAGCACAAGCTATTGTGTGCTATGATATTCACGAAGTTAGAGACTTTAGCGCCTTCACATCATACACAGACAAATATTCAGCTAATATATATACATAAAAGAGGAGATGCAAACCACACCATAATTTTTACTTAAAAAATATAATTAAAAGTAAAAAATTAATGGGTCTAGTCCAATTGAAATAATTTTAATGTTGTGTCTGAAATTATTATGTGTCGTTACCGAACGTTTCAGAGACGAATCAAAACACGCCACGTCACCTAGTACAGAGAGGTACATAATAAAAAAAATGACATGGCATGTTCTCATTCTCTTCTGGATATTGTTCGTTGACCACACATAATAATTAATCGATTAGACATAGGTGTTAGAAGAATCATAAATCAGTGAAGGTGATCAGAGGTTTTATAATCAGCAACAATGATCGAAATATCATAAGTATGTAGCGATCAAGCAGCCCTGGCTACCATTCCTCTGGTGTGGTCATAATGGGCTAATTTGTCCCATTATGATCCTCAGACAATTGTTGATCAAATACACTAACTCTCACTAACTTCTTCATAAGCCATCACCAATAGCGTTAATGTATGCCGTTATCTATGAAGCTAATGTATTGAAATTTATGTTAGACTTCTTGACCACAATCTCCCTTCTAAAATATAAACAATCAATCAAATAGCAAACAATCTCTTAAATATAATTCTCTTAATACAAAGTTCTTCCAACTTCCACAATGCAATTCATTTTATATAATCAATGTCTATCATATTATATCAACACGTTTATCAATCGCATGAATGGGCATCATTTGTAATCAACATACATTATTGCAATCAGTTCAACTAGGATAAGCCTCATATATTTTTTTTCCTTTTTTAGGATTATCCATCACGTAAAAATTATGGCATCTCTTGCAACCCTCTTTTATTAGTGTGCGTGTTGAATTTTAATATAAAGCTAAGACATTAAATAACTTTTTCTCTAGTGATGCAAATGTTATTCCAAAAATTAATTTAAATTTAGAGTTGGGACACTTTTCTAATATGTTGAATGAAGAATTAAGCTTCGTTTGGGATATCTTTTTTACTATTTTCTAAAATAACTTTTTAATATGAAATTTTATTAGTTCAATAAATTTTTGTACTAAAAAATGTTTTAAAAAATAATAAGAAATTTGTCTCAGATGAAACCTTAAGCTTCGTTTGGACGACTTTCTTACTGCTTCTTAAAGCATATTTCTAATAGAAAAATGATTTTTTTGTATTAAAAATCTATTTTAAGAATCAGTAAGAAAACAATCACAAACAAAACTTTTAATTTTTTTTCATTTAGGTATTTTATTGATACATGATTGGTGCTTTGTTGATAACATTTGGGAGGGATTTTCTTTTGCAGAATGAGTCGGAAGGCCAGGGAAAATAGACGGTCAATGTGACTGAAGGTCTGTGTACATTGAATATAGTCGGCATGTGCTGTTTGATTGTGCTTTCTACCATCAACCTGTAAGCAGCTGATGCGTTTTTGACAGGCAAACTTTGCTGTATGTTACAACTAATATAAGAAATTATAATGGAAACATTTCTCTTTGACGCGGTTGCATTTATAAAAGTAATAATAAAACTGTTTTTGATTAAAAATATAGATTTTTTTTTTAAGTAATATGATACTATTGAATGTTTTCTTTCAAAAATATCGTACAATACTCTCATGAAAATTTATTTTTAAATAATAAGATCTGTATTTAAACAAATATATAATAGTACTATAAATAAAATTAAAAAAAAAAATTGTTACAAACCGCCTCTTAGGCTTCGTTTGAGACGACTTTCTTACTACTCTAATCAATTTTTTAGTACAAAAATTTTAATTTTTTTACTAATAAATTACTTTTAAAAGAAGTACCAAAGTTGCCGCAAAATGAAACTTTAATGTGCTATTGATATATTAATAAGCTAAGGAATTTGGAGTTTAGGATAATGAGATAAGATATTCTAAATGCTATTAAACTAAAATAATTGCACCATAAAAATATAGTTGCAAGCACTTGAGTAGATGTTAGGCTTTGTTTGAACTAATTTTATTTTAGGAGAAATTATTCTATGCGAACACCGAATGTTGTCCGGATACCAACCAAAATGAACCACGTCGGTACCACGGCTCGGTATCGCTGACGTGACTCGTTGTTGTTGGTCTCCAGACATATAGTTGTGTTCGACGTACGCACATAATAATTTATCGTCATTTAGGGCATCTCCAACCAAAAAGCTCATTTTCAATTTCAAAATACAATAACAATTCAAAATGCAGTAACTCATCTCCAACCGAATTCCATTTCAAACACACAAAATTTTATATTCTTTCTCAACCGAACTCCGCCCTGAATTGCTCGCCTTTCCATCATTTCATGATTTTTTTGCGAAAATGCAACCGTAAATGACATTTGGGTGGAGCTTGAGGCAGACAAACAAACAACTATTTGCAATTCGGTTGGAGAAGATCTTACGAACCAAATGCTAACAAACTTTTTTTCTGGAAATATGTTGATAAATCTGCATGGTAATCATGGCAAAACAGAACAACACGATACTCATAAAACACGCACAACATCAAAAACTGATTTGACAATACAAGATGAAAAGAAATGATTTTAGAAGAAAAAAAAAACCAGCACCCTACAAAAATTATAACAGAACCGATATTCATAACTATAATTTCATACGTACAGACAGGGTGCTAATTGCTAATTCATAGGAAATCACAGTCAGAAGCCAATAAACGGCAAAACATAATCACATAACAACTGCCTTGATATAAGGACATTAGTAGTAAAATCATGGCAAAGACCCAAACTTTAGTCACTGAACCATATCAAAGTCTTTATTTAGTACCTAAATAGCATGCGAGATTTTTGACCCCGAACGGATATTTTCTCAGCCCATAGCGTATTTCTGAGTCCAGGATCGAGCGGTTGTTTCATATTTGGCTCTGTCAGTCTTATACATATGGGCAATCTCGGGCACCAGAGGGTCGTCCGGGTTTGGGTCCGTTAGAAGTGAGCAGATTGACAGTAAAACCTGCACAGTTTTTCAAGTATGAAAGGCTTGAAAAGAACTAACTTGAGAAAATTACTCAACTGCTTCATGTCAGATGAGATTCAGAGCATCTCCAATGGAACGCCGTACAAATGTATGGTGTTTATTTGATCGCTCCATCCGAGCGGCATTTTTTCCGCTATTTGACAGCGGATGCAGCGACGCCAATAGCGTCGCATCGTTCGAATAATTATTCTGTCCAGACAGCGGTACCAAGCGGTACTGCCGGTACTACTGTCGGTACCGAGCGCCTAGTGATGTGGCACATTTTTATTGGTCTCTGGACACGTTCGGTGTTTGGACACAATAATCACTCCGCACTGCTCACCCGCCATTCTTTTAATTCAAAAATTATGTAAAATGAAGTATGGGAAAGAATATACTAGGAATATTCTTTTTTTGTGTTAGAAAATGGAGTTCGGTGGGAGACGAGTTACTGCAATTTGGTGTATTACTGTATTTTGGAGTGACAAATGAGTTTTTCGGTTGGAGATGAGATTCACCTTTGATATAGTGAGAGCAGGACTCCACTGCTCCTTGAGAATGTCAAGGCAGATGCTGCCGTTGCTATTGATGTTTGGATGGAAAACTTTGGTGCGGAATGAGACCTGCCCATAAAAAACCAAGGTAAATCAGAACATGTGAAATATGATTGGAACCTCTTTGGCTCCTATCTGCTTTCTATTTAGCACAAAACAGAAAGCAAAAACCCAAAAAGAAGGACCTCAAACAACCCTGAAAGTGCTTTTTGAATTAGCCAAACTACTTGAAAGATCAAAGATTGTGGGTTAAGCATAGTGCAATATTGTGCGGTTAGTTATATTACAGAAAGGAAGATTAACTACCTTTGGGGGTTTGAAAGGGTAGTCCGGTGGGAAGTGAATAGAAACGAGGAAAACTCCACCAGCAAAGGGGCTGTCAGCAGGTCCCATAATCGTTGCTTGCCAATGAAACATGTCCTCAGCTACAGGACCTGGAAACATAGAATGAGAAATGTCATCACTCTCTTTGTGGCACATGAGCACATTCAAACTGTCATCGCAACATCTGGGCAAATTAAGATGTTAAATTTGCAAGCAGAACTACAAGCACATTCAAAACCATCCACTTGCAAGTGCATTTTGGTGCATGTTGCGGATCCGAACTGTGTAATTGTGGAATTTTGTTTGTTCATTGGAGTCAAAAAGCAATGTTATTTCTCGTAGGCGAGCTACCCAGCTCATCACAAGACCCATGTTTGTTTTCAATTCTAAACGTTCAAAATAGCAAACATTACATTGTACTATTTTTATTTTATACTTGGTGTGCATTTAAATTTTTGTTTCTTTCCATTTTAGTCTTGCAGACCATTTTAATTATTCCCCATTTTATTTTGAAATTGTGTTCATAAAAAAATTTTAGTAGCCTCCCGACGTCTCCCCTACATAAGAGGCCTCATTGGAGGGGCTAGGTTTTCCAAAAGCGTGCATAGTTGGTGTCTTCGGACACTGCAATCAAAGAGTCTCCTATCCCACAGCGCTTTAAATAGCGTATATAGGTCTTCATAACCTACAACTGCACACGAGCTCTTATTTCACGAATTTCCTCTCTGCGTTGGTGCAATACACTTAAGTACTTAATTCATGAATTTCATCTCCACATTGGTATCATGCATATGAGTATTTATTTCACAAATTTCCTCGTCGCGTTTGACCAACGCACAAAGGTGCTTAATTTTGAGATTTTGAAATTATACCTTTGCGCGAGACAACGACGACTTATGGCAATGATAAGAAGTCTGATAGAGAGAGGGTGATAGAGAAAAAGGAGAGAGAGAAAGAGGATGAGATGAGATAAGTTGAAGAGAGAAAGAGAGAGCATATTCTCATTGTTTTAGAAAGACGGAAAAAAAAGAGTGAAAATGGGTGAGTTTGAGATCTCTCTCTCTCTCCCCTTATTTAGAGAGAGAGAGGTATGGTGAGGAGTTAAAGGGTAGGGCTCGTTAGGGGAGCTAGTGATCCAGATGCTAGCAGCCTAGAGATGTTGGTGTTAGGAGTATAAATGAGTAGAGTCGAGCCCGATTAGCAGCAAACTCGAGCTTGACTCATCCCTCAAAAGAGCAGCTCGAGCTCGTGTCGAGCCCAAAAACAAGCTCGAGCTCGACTCGTCTATTTTCTCTTTCGAGATCTTGGCTTGAGGCAAAAGCTTTTCATTCGTCGTTGCTGGGGAAGTGTCAACTGTGGAGAAGAAAGATCGAAAGAGCTTGCTTCGTCGTCACTGGGAAGTGCTGGTTGTGGAGAAAAAGCTGGCTCGAAAAAATGAAAAGAAGAACAATGAAAAAAAAGGACATTTTTCACGATTCTAGCCGCAAGAAGCAGAGCTTTGCTGCTTTAATAGTTTAATTAGTTCAGAAAAAATAGAATGTTGCAGCAGCCTTTCTATAAAAAAAGTAATAATAGCAAATTAGACTTTTTTTAAAATTTGTACAACCGTTGCACTATATAATAATTACATTAATGATATAATAAATGCAGTATATTTTTTTAATACATAAAAATTTTATGTTAGTTAAAATTATAAATAATTAATTAATTCAAGCCAGCTCTCGAGCCAACAGTTGAGTTGTAACAAGCTCGAACTCGAGCTCGTTTAATATTTGAGCTCGTGGCTGAATAAGCTCGTTAACGAGCCGAGTTGATGTCGGTTCACGTGCCAACTCAACTCATTTACACCCCTAGTTGGTTTCAAGGGGCCAGGGTTATAAGGAACTAAGCTACTAAGCATGGTGGCCAATAACAATTTGAGTGGCGAGGGGGCAGGTGGCAGGGGGCAGGGAGACGAGAATGGGTGTGTTGTGGGCTAGGGTGGTTAACAATGAGAAGGCGGTAGAAAGCGATTTGCCTACGAATAAGATTAGAGGCTATGGTGTGTCAACTGTGAAGAGGAGATGGAAGTGTTGGGCAGCAAGTATAAAAGCTTGCCTAAGGTGGTCGAAGCTACGCCTTGGGTTGCTTGGCAGAGGAGTAGGGGTTGGCTTGCCATAGGGAGTAGGGAGGAGATTAGGAAGAGAGACTAAAATGCCCCTCGGGCTACATAAGCGACTAAATGCCCATAAGGGTAAAAACGGAAAAACGTCAAAATAAAATACGCTACTACATAAAATGACAAAATACAAGTCATGCTCGTGGCCGTCGATCTCCGGCGTCGAAAATGCTGACGATGTCCTCATCATCGAGTTACACAAGTAGGGCGATTGACTGGCTAAGGTTGATGGATGAAGGTGTTTGGAGCTCAGTCGGGCTAGATTAGGATGACGGGGTCATCGATACGGGAATTTTTTTTGAGAGGGGTAGGATTAGGAGCTTCTATAAGGAAGAAACAGAGGGAGAGAGTATGTGGGAACAAGAAGGATAATAGGTTGTTGCAAAAAGGGAGATAGAACCTTTATGCCATTTTTTAAATTATTTCATTATAAGGTTATAAGGTGGCAGTGGCAAGAAGTAAGGGTATCAATTCGGGTCAATAGGTCGAGTTTGGGTCCAACCCGAGTTGAACCGGACATAAATGGGTAGACCGAAACCCGACCCATTTAGTTAAACTGGAAAGGATTTTCAACTCGGACCAGACCCATGCGGGTTACCGGGTTGACCTGACCCGACCCGACCCACAAAACCTACCTGTTTGGCTTTTAAGGCTTCTCTATAGGCGAGGCCAGCTCAGCAGACGAGGCCAGCGGGAGCGGCCCAGCGCGCCAGGAGAGGCCGGCGCAGTGGCGAATGCGTCCAGTGGCCTGCGAGACTGCGGGTGTTGTGCAGTGCCAGCAAATCAGGCAATGAGGTGAGGCCCAACGTCTCGACTAATGCTCGAGGTGCACCTGTGCGGCCTACTGGTTTGAACTGACGGACGCCCTGCTCTTGCTAGATGGCGCGTGACCCGATGTCTCGACTAACACATGAGACTTGACGTCTCGACTAGGCTGCGGCAAGACGTCTCGTCCAGTCCAGACGAGGACACGACGTCACGCTCACGGGCTGACGCACTGAATGCGGCACGGCAACAACCATTTTCCCGGGTCAAATCGGGTTGAGTTCAGGTTCCCGGGTCAACCCGAACCCGACCCGATTTTGCAAACCGGTCAAAAGCTTGAATCCGAACCCGACCTGTATGATAAGCGGATTGACCCGAACCCATAATTTTTTTGGTCGGGTTCGTGTCAGTTTTCGGGTCGGGTCAGATTTTGACACCGCTAGCAAGAATTAGATAGGATTGGGCGACACTTATGCAGTGGATTTGATTAGATAAATATGGGTAGATAAGATTATGAACATATACACACGTGTGTATATATAATTTTTTTTTAAAAGAGTCGACCCCATACATAATTTCTCATTCCTCATGCAACTCGATTTGTGTGTTGTAGCCTCGTGAGTAGAAAAATTTCGTGTTTCGACCCATGCAGCAACCCAAACAATACGGATGCCTCTTCTAGGTAATTTCATGTAACGCTGTATTAGTTGATCGTCACTTCAGTCAAATTTGCTCGAATTGATTGTGGTATATATACAAAGTTCCACAATAATGGAAAATAGGGATTAAACACTAAAATCGATGATAATACCAAAAATCATTTAGACTTCAATTCATTCACTTCCCTCGAAACAAAGCCCAATTTTTTCCACGTGTTAAGTTTATATTCATTATTGCAAGATCATATGGTCCTATGAAATTAAATATATTACTTCATAGAATTCGTATCCCTTTTTTCCGTTTGTAAGAATCATCTCATAGTACATATTACTAGAACATGCATCTCCATTAAAATCAACCATAAGAAATACCCTCTCTTCCTCATATCCGTTGTGATATTCCATTCATCTCTTCTTGAAGTCGAGTTTTCAAACTATTTTATAATCTAACTTGAATGAAAATAACCACTAGATATATTTAAATGTCCTCACAAACAATTTATATGATGGAAATCATCCTACTACTATTAAGCAAATTGATGTCAATACTTTTATCTATCAACTCTATGTCAAACATGAGCCCAAGCCACTTTTATCTATCAATTATCTTTCAACCAAGATCCCCAGCCAATAGTAGATTTCTTATACTTATAATCCTCAATGCCTCAAAATTTTTCTCTTTCCATTTAGTTTCTTCAAAATAAGTTGTTTTAATTCTTCTTTAATTATTATGTCCCTTCTTATCTTGTCATCTTATCGTTTTATTAAAAGTCATTAACTTTCAAGTAATAAAACTCCCTTGCATCACCTAATTCAAATAATTATCCAGATAAGACCCCTGGTCAATAGAACCCACTCCCATCGATATTGTGAGAACTACAAATAGAAGATATCTCGCTAAGAATATTATTTGTAAGCCTTCTCACAACCAGCATAAAAAAATATGAATACACTCCACACCCATAATATAATACTGTGATAGAAATTTTTTTGAGAACATTATTATCTCTAATGCTAAATATTGCTTCATCATACAAACTTATCATAATCCATTAGATAACATATTGTTTCAACTTTCAAGGTATCTTGAAACTTGTTTGTCACTCTGCAATTTATTCCTAATTTTTGTCACTACTGCATGCAAATCTTTAGTGAGAACAACATACTTGTTATACAAGCCATCTCATAAGCATGCCTTTTTATTTAAAAAAAAATATTCTTTGACCAAATTTAGTGGAAAACAATAATTATTACAACGCCAAAGTGAGCTTCGCCTCACATGATTTACCTTGTTTGTACTTTACCCTCTATATTTAAAAATATGCACATAAAAAATTATATAAATCACAAAAAAAAAAGATATATGAGATTATTCATCAATATAATCATAAAATCATAAACATAAATTTAACATTAAATAATAAACAAAGAAAATGGTGAAAAATACAATATGTAAGAAAATGAAGAATGTCATAGTGGCGTTGATGAAAAATTAAAGAAGGGGATATAATTAGCTTAATAAAATGAA